AATGTCAGGGAAACAGACACTTATCCTTGAGGTCCTTGAAAGAGAGTTGGCATGTAAAGTCAGGAAATGTCTTACCAAGGACCGGCTTCAAGCACGTTACTGTGCACTGGCCTGAGACACTGTCAGAGGATTCCATCGAAACAGAATTGACATCCTGAACCAGCTCAACATGATTTCAGTGTCTTCTGTTGCTGCAGATTTTCTGTAAACCAGAAAAGTGTACTCCTTGAAATGTCAGCATTCTTCCTTCCTTTCAACTTTAATATTTGACAGTGAGTTGTACTCAACATTTATTAACAACATTTTTGTCCTCATTGACTTTTATCTCTCTTTACGAGTTGTGTGGTAGATATACTTTTTAATACTTCTTGATATTCTCTTGTTTGTGCTCTTCTGTCATCTATTTTTGTCTTCCCAGCTAAGCAAAATAAAATACATAATTTAAACATTAATGCCCAGAGGACTAGCCTCTGCCACAAACAGAACTAAACTTCTGGTTAAGTCCCCCTGTGAGACAGCACTGAAATCCTGGTTGTGGGCACCCCCTGGCCCACCTGTAAACGAGCACTTGCATATGTGCTATGATTGGCCTGTTAAAAATACCATTATTGAAGGGAATATTGAAACACATTGGGATTGGGAGCCCAGAATATTGGCACGGCTTTGTAGATGTTACTAACTGGCAATAGATTATGTCTGCAACACAGGCCACACTGACAACCAGACTTACAGTGTAGGTTTTAAATATATATTGTTTATAAATTCAGAAGTAAGCTTATATTCAAGTCTTTAAAAATATACAAAATTCATTTTTTATACCTTAGATAATCGTCAACTAAAATAAGGTGCAGTACAGCATTATGAATGACCCTAACTGAAACTTATTAATAATTCATAAAATGCAATTTACATCAAGAAATACAAGTAATAATTACCAAGCCAAAATATGTGTTTTGCTGCAGGAAAAACGTATACATTTCTTCTAACATGTTCTAAAGTAACTAGACCTCTTATTGAGTCTCATATTACACCTCTAGTGATCCCTCCAGATCTTCAAACCTCTAAAACAGTTAAACCAGCAGTTTGTTTTTTCACTTTATAAATTTCACTCTTTTTTACTTTACTAATTAATTACATAACTATAATCACTGTAAGTCGTAGTATGTTTTTTTTTTAGCTTTAAAGGTCAAGAACCAATCAACACATGTTCGGGAGCGATTCATTTTTAAATAAGTGTTGTAGTTATCAGTTAAGATAAGGAGTAATTTCAAACTAGTCATTTTAACAATATGACTAGTAGTGCATAAGGGTTTCTTTTCATGTATGTTACACTTGCAAGCTTAGAAAAAAGGAAGGGCACAAACTTTCTTGATTTCTCTCAGATAATGACAAATTGGACTACTTTTGGGCTTAACTCTTGTTCTAAACATAAATCTTCAAAGGCCAAAAACTCTTTAAATGCTAAAAATCCAACACTAACCTTCCAGAAGCTCGCAACGTGACCGTTTCGAAATCAGTTGAGTAGAGCTTTCAGCAACTTTACGTTAACTGGCAAAGCCTTCCAGCTGTTAACACAGAAACTGTGACCATAGGCTTTTTCTCAACGGTACTTCGCTCAGGATAGGGTATTTTGATTGATGACTTCGGTGAATCAGAAGATTCAAAAGCTAAAATCTTGAGTGACGCTCGATTAGACACAGAGAAAGACTCACCATTACATTGCTCAAACCGTACAGTCGAGAAGAGCTTTGAGCAACTTTACGACGAGTGATAAAGCCTTCCAGCAATCAACACTTTAAACTGTGACCATCAGCTTTTTCTCCATTCTATTCCACTCAGGATAGGCTATTTTGTTTGACAATCTCGGTAAATCAGAAGCTACCACAGCCAACCCTTTGAGCGGACACTCGTTTTGAAACAGCGAAAGACTCGCCATGACAGGACAGTTGGGTAGAACTTTCAGCAACTTTACGTCCAGTGATAACGCCTTCAAGCAGTTGAAACTTTAAACTATGACCACCGGCCTTTTGCCCAATCCATTCCGCTCAGGATAGGCAATTTTGATTGATGACTTCGATGAACCAGAAGCCGCAAAAGCCAAACTCTTGAGTGACGCTCGATTACAAAGAGCAAAAGACTCGCCATGACATCCCTCAAAACCATGCAGTTGAGTAGAAGTTTTGCAACTTTACGGGGCGTGATACAGCCTTCCAGAGGTGAACACTTTAAACTGTGGCCATCAGCGTTTTTTCCATTCTTTTCCGCTCAGGAAATTATATTTTGTTTGATGCCTTCTCTAAATCAGAGGCCGCAAAAGCCGCAAAACGTTAACGACACTCGTTTTAAAACATCTCAAGACTCGCCATGACATTCCCCGCAGCTCCATGATATTTATCGTTAAAATAATACTAAAACTTCTTTGTTTGGTCATGAAATTTGCTTGAAAGGCCGGCTAGATACCTTCTCAAGATTCTCGGCATTCAAGATACATAATTCCGTTAGCCTGTGGGTTAAAATAACGAGAAAACCAAATGACATCGGGCGTCCATCTTTGTGCTTCGCGCGAAAACAGAGCAGCAAGTCTGCAACCGGATGTGATGTCATAAATCGGTGGATCATAGGTACACGAAATTTCGCTAAGTCGTGGGCCCCCCCCTGGCCACAGCCCACGCCCTTAAATTTTAGTAAGATCGATAGTACCAAAGAGGATGTATCATTTACACAATCAAAAATTTAAAGGCCAAGAAATTGCTCAACGTGTACTTTTAAATAATGAGGACATCGATTGTACACTCTAAGACTAAGTCGACGAGGAATATGGATTTAACAGTATAGTAACTGAAACTAAATGCAAGGAAGGGTGGATTTCCACTGTCGCGTAATTTTTACGTGTGCGCATGCGTAAAATTTACATCCGCAAATAAAATAGAGGCAATACATGAAATGTCGTCGCACGTAAGCGTAAAAGTTGAACCTCGACCAACTTCACGTTTAAGCTCAACACGTTATATCTTTCCTCTACTTTATTTACGTGATTAAAATTTACAGCTATTTACGTGCGTCTACACGCACGTAAAAATTACGCGACAGCGGAAATCCACCTTAAGAGAAGAAAAAAGAGACCGTTTCTTCTTTGTTGCTCACAAGGTCGGAGTCCGCAATAAGGCGGGGTGATTTGCAAGCAGGAAATTTTGGAGGATAACAATTGTAAAATTTTAGTAGACCCCAGAATCAGAGTTCCACAGCGAAGGCTTCTACAACAATCCCCCCTGGGCAAAATCTAGACCTCGAGTAAAACCTGGCCCCTTGAGCCGAGAGTGGCCTCCATAACAGTAATCGTTTAGCCGGGCGCCAGGAGGTCGGAGGCAAATTAGAGCTTGAAGGCCGTGGGAGGATATTATGATGTAGGCTGCTTGTTTCCCGCCGGCATTTTCTCAGTAGTGAGATAACACTGGCTCTCATTCTGCTTTATTATAGAACTGGAAGAAATCAAGACAACATACATTGCTCGCCGAGAAAGACAGGCAATCAACCAAAGCTGCTGTGAATTAATTGGACCTTTTTATAATTATTGATAAGGCGCATGCTAAGTCAAAAACTCTCACAATAATTAGAAACTGTAATCGTCATGTGTTCGTAATAAATTGATCGTTGTAGTTAAGTCAAAGTCTAGTCTAATGATTCCTCCTAAGTGCGTACCCTAGCGTGCAAGCGCACTGTCATGGGGGAAGGGGGAAGGAGAGAAAAAGGGTCCTTCATTTCACTTCCGCACCCCTACCCCAGAGTCGAGAGCTCGCTCACAGGATACATTATTGTATACGTTTTTGCTCTGGATATCAAGTCGCCAGTTTCACCTACCAAGTGTTCTGCTAACGTCCCTCTTCGCTACACTTTCCCGTTTTTCGGTAAATGGAACTGATCTGTGCAAATGTTAAACGCAATATCGGGACAAAATTTACCAGTCCTGAATTTTGCTTACCATTTGCCCAAACCGTGAACTAACTGGTATGCCAATCTAGACAGTAAACAACCGAAGTTTTTCTTTTACTTGTCTTACACTGTTCTTTACTTCTACAAAAATAATAGTAGTTCCCGAATACTTTCATCCATTAGTCTGTTCCAGGCGTGCAGACGCGCTCTCTGAACGCCTCTCCCCTCGTTTTTTTTTCTTTGTCTTCCCGTCGTCAATTTTCGTCCGCGCTCTACTATCTGAACGCCTGGAACTCAGTGGCTATCATCCACAAGAATTGTTTGAGCTGCTTTTATCTGCTTATTTTCTATTTTGAAAAATCCTCAACTTGAATCTGCCGTTCAGCCGCCATTTGCCGTAAGCGTGACTCTAGAACTCTGTTGTCGGCTGCCTCCCGAGGCGAGTCATGTCAACAATAGAGCAGGGGAAATCACACAATAAACAATTACGGCTTGTTTATGTTAATTATAATGGGGCATAATTTATAAATAGTCAGTGATGCTATTTGAAGATAACAGTAGTGACATACGTTGAGCACTAAGAATTAGCATCATAGTACAAAACATCAAACCTACCTGTAGTCTTCTTCGCAACCATAGACCCCTTCACGGTTGTAACGGCATGATGGGTAATCAGGACAAGATGGAGGAAAACTCAAAAGTCTGTATGGGAATACGAACTCAACTAATTCTTGCTAATTGCATATATTTGTCACTTTCCCTTTGAAAAATGTAACTAATGAACTTAAAGAAACTGCACACTAAATTTTGGAGCGCATAGCAGTCCTTTGCTGATTTTCAGAAAACCTGAGTTCTTCCATACTTTTTTTGTAATCCGACAACACAAAAATTACACATAATGTATGGAAGAAGTCAAATTTTCTAAAAAGCGGCAAAGGACTGCTGTGCTCTCCACATTTAGTCTATAGTTTCTTTAAGTTCATTAGCTAAAGTTTGCAAAGAGAAAATGACGAATATATTCAATTAAGAAGAGTTAGTTGACTTTGAATTCCCATACAAACTTTTGACTTCCCCGTCATCTTGTCGTGATTGTCCAACATGCCGTTACAACCGTGAAAGGGTCTATTTGGGCCTAAGTCACTCAATGATGATCATCATCATCATCAATCTTTATTTATACACGAAATCGCATCACTTTACATGGTCTTCCTAGGAATCATGTTTAAAACTAGACTAAAATACTCTAAGGAACTATTTGACTATAATGTTAAAAATACAAAAACTTACATTATTAATAATAAGAGTTACAATGAGTCATGGTGTATTAAAATAATCTTTCCCATGAATTGAAGTTTTAAAAACATTTAAACTAGGCAGTTTTCTAATCTCTGAGGGAATCTTGTTCCACAGAACAGATCCTCTATAGTTTAGGCTTCCTTTTGCAGACTCAGTTCTGGGTCTGGGGACATAATAATTTAACTCAGAATTTCTAAGATTGTGTTGAAGTCTTACATATTCTAGCCTTTCCCAGCCAAGTTCATCCAACAAAACACTTGAGGGAACGTCATAGTTAGAAAAGGTGAGAATTCTAGCAGCCCTATTCTGCATCTTTTGAAGTTTGTCTGCTAGTCCCTTATTGATATTACCCCATACAGCACCACAGTAATTAAAATATGGCATTACCAGTGCATTGCACATATTCACTCTAGTATCAAATGGTAGAAAATGACTTACATGCTTTAAGATAACAATACCAGCAGATATTTTCTTTGTAATGGTATTAATGTGTGGGTGCCAGTTCAAAGATTCATCAATTTGAACTCCAAGGGATTTATGTTTAATTACTCTTTCTAAGGGTGTATTATTGACTTTGACTGCAAAGTCACTATTTATTTGGGATAACTTAAACTGGCTCCCTATAAGCATGTATTTAGTCTTCTTAACATTTAAAGTTAATTTGTTTGCTGACAGCCATGACTAAATTAAATTCATATCATAATTCATTTTATGTTCAAGGACACATGGGTCTTCTGCAGACGTCGTAAGGGTAGTATCATCTGCATACATTCTGGGTTTTGAAAACAAATATTTACATGAAGGGAGATCATTAATATAAATAGTAAATAAGAGAAGTCACAGGACCTTAAGACAGATCCTAACAACTACAGACCTATCTCAGTTCTGCCTGTAGTAAGTAAATTAATTGAAAGAGTTGTTTTCAACCAATTATATGAATATTTAAATAATAATAAGTTGTTAACTGAATCACAATCTGGCTTCAGACCTATGTTTTCCACTGAAACAGCTTTACTTGAGGCTACAAATGAATGGCTATGGAATATTGACAACAATCTCTTAAATGGTGTGATATTCCTGGACTTGAAAAAAGCTTTTGATACCATGGATCATGCTATCCTACTGGGAAAGCTTAAACTCTATGGAGTCAGTTCTCAATCTCTTAACTGGTCCCGGTCCTATCTATCTGACCAAAAGCAACAAACGTTTATTGATGGAGTTCAATCTGATTTCTGTAATATAACATGTCCCTGTGACTACCCTATTTGTGATATGCATTCGTGAGACTAGGCAGTTATACCACGTATTCTAAAATGAGGTTTGAAACAAAGATTGCAAAACTCTATGACTACAAGGGAAGGACTGTGTACGATTTGTATGAAAAATATTGTTATGGACCCACAAAATGGGAATAAATTTTTTGGTTACATAAACAAAACAAAAAAGTAGTCTTAGAGATCACGAAAACATTTGTGGGTCTTGGGTAACTTTTCTTTAAAAAGCTAGATGTAGCTTCTCTAACGACCAATAATTTGTGAAGAAATTTAAAACTGAAGTTCGCAACATTTTATGGTATTTACAATCATATATCCAAACATCTTTCACGGTGGATTGAACTATTAATGAGCTTACACAGTAAAAGTGAATAATTTATATTAAAGCATAAGGGGACAAATATTAATGAACTGTTGTAATATCTGTCAGAGGTCTCGCACATCCCTTTGGGCTTTTGGTATTCTTAATGTTATCCCTTTAAAGTCTTTAGTAACACATATCTGACATCCGAGACGAGAACTGTTAAAAAAATGGAAAAAGAAATTCAGTGATTATTGTAGAAATAAGAACCAACCAAGGGTTCATGTTCCACTTGTTCCCCCAAACCACTGGGAGGCCTTTACTGATTTCAAGCCAAGAGTATTTCAGCGACTTCATATGAAAGAAAACTTTTAGCCATATATAAGTTCCAGAAGGATAGTGAGTGGGTTAATCCTTTCACTTCCAAGAAAACTGAAAAATCCATGCTTTATTTTGCATCAGGATCTCCTATAGACTTTCTAAAAGTCCTTTATTTGTTTTTTTCCTGGTTGGTTGTGCCATTTTAATGGACTTTTCATACCTGTTTGGTGCGAAATTCACCTGTTGTGGTGACATCATGACAATTGGCCAATAGGACAGTGAATGATATTTCATGCCGCTCCCGACATAGCATATGCCAATCATTTTTTTCCTGCGTTAATTTGTAATATGATTCAAATCCAGGTGAAACAAGTTGACCATGAGACTTCATCGCTCACTTGGTCACTGAGCAACCTCATGCATTGAAGCTCGCTTCGCTCACTTTTAACCCTTTAAGCCCCGGTATCCACATACAAATTGTCCAAACTTATCTCCATACATTTCCTTAAAGAATTAGTTACGAGAATTTGATGATAGATCAAGGCATTTTCTCTCGGGTGATCATTTTATTAATTCTCATAACTTATCTGTTGACAGTGTATGGATATTGTTCAGAGAAAATTGATCTTGGTCACTATTGGGACTTAAAGGGTTAAGAACTTATAAGAGGTCGACTTGTAGCAAGTCTTGATCCCCTAAAAACAAACTATTAGGAAGCTGGCCACTTACGTATCTTCCAATCCATAAGCCAGGTCCAACATATCAAGCTCTTCATCTGAAGGTTCATCCAGATTTAATGCCTCCATTTCATCAGGTTTAAATATCAGATGACAAGTGGAACAAGACAAAGTACCTTCGCAAGCACCTAAATATATTATAACAAATTAAGTTATCAGACACCTCTGAAAAATATTAAAGAGGTTTAATAATATGAACTTTTTTTGACCAGCCAGGCAAGAATTACAGATAGCGAGGCCGCAGACAGGATTGATCACATTAAAATGCAAAAAAACGTTCTCAGGCTTAACATGTTAAAAATGCAAGCTTTTAACCGCCTGGACTACAGTCGTCAATAGGCAAAATGATTTGAAAATAAAAAAATTCCAAAATATATTATAGTGTGATAAAAATACAATAGGATAAAATTACAAAAGAATAAAAATCAAGAAAGAACTCATTGAGAATTTTTGTTAAAAAGAATGTTATATTGCCTTGGGAGAAGGCAAGAGTTATTATCTGCATTAGGTGTTTTCATAGTGTGCCAGGAACACAAGCCACAGTTGGTCTTTGAAAGTAAAGTATGAGCAAAAGTGCTGTATTTTATATGGAGTTGTTTTCCAAATGTTCTGGGCCTGGCCCTTCATCAGTGGAATTACAAGTACACATTAGAACTGGTGCAAGGTTTGTATAAGCTATGAAATAAAAAAAATTAAAACTTTGAAGGGCACATGCAGCTCAGTGCATGGCCTAGAGGAAAACAAAGCCGGAAGTTAATCTGTGTGGATGACTTGTGCCAAGTTGAAAAATCAGGCGCATCTTCAGGCACTTCTGTTGAACATTTTCCCAGGAGAGCCTAATCCAATGAACAAGAGCATCGTTGACGTACTTTTTAAAGTGCCACACAGCTTACCAGAATTTTTTCCATTATTTGTTTGATCAGATGTTCAATGTAAGTGTTAAATAGTTAACAACTGCAAACCTTTATTGCCAGGAAAGAAATTTTTTATTAACATCAAAATTTTAGTCATAAATGGATGTGTAGTAATTGGAGAAAATAATTTAAGACAAAATTTTAGAATTTTTAAGGATAATATAGAGGTGACTGTTTAGCTTGAGCATTGCCCTAAAGTATAAAATATCCTGCGAGCAGACTACATGTAAATTTACAGGGTACAAACAAAAATGAACTCAAGGAGAATAACTGTTCATTTACACTGAAGAGTGTTGTTTGGGTTTAACAGCTTATAAATTATCTCTAGTGAATGTTCCATTTGATGCAAAAATCCTGTACTGAGTCTGACCATGTCACAAATTAAGATGGTTGCTTCCACAGCAAAATGTTTCTACCACTTACACTAATGAACTTAATATAAGGGATTCACGTTTTTTTTATTTTCGAGTCATAATCTTACACATTACAGTAATGCTGATGATGTGGAAGTGTCCTTTTGGTTGCAGTTCATTAGTGAACAATTCATTGATATACTGAAATGTGTTGCTATAAAACTAAATGGCTCTTTTCATAGCTTGTCTCAATGTTAAAAGAATAAAATTGATTATTTTCCTGCTGATGAAAATTCATTTTTTGCAGTAAAAAAATGAAGGACAAAATGTGTGAGTAAAGTAAACTGTTATCCATTTCCTTTCAGTTGTAATTTGAAAAATACCTTCTAAATCAACATCATTGTCTTTTGCTACATCCAGTAGGGTATCTCCAACTTTTGCATTAACTGTTATTTCATCTCCATCGCGATCAATAAATTTAATTGAGACCCTAAAATGTAACAGGAAAAAATAATTTGCACACGTATTTCAGATTATACGCACTAAGTGGAAGGATTTCTAACAAAACTGCATGACAGTAACAGCTGTTGTTCTCAGGATTCTGGGAAACTGCCCACCTACCCCTCCCCTAAGCTGACATTAACCCCTATTTCTCACTTGGGGCAAAATGATGGCTTAGGGGAGGGGTCAGCGGCCAGCTTCCCAGGAAACCTAAATTGATCCCATATTTATATATGACCCTTGAACCTTTCACTTCTAATAAAGGAGAAAGAAAAAACTTAACAAAAAAACTTTTTTTTGGTAAATGCTAACCCTCCCGTATTATGCAGGAGTAGGGTCTCCCAATAGCAGGCAAATCTCGTGGTCTCCTGTCCAGATCACATAATCTCCCAGATAAAATAAACTTTTGAGTTTTTCTGTGTCATAGGCTAATTATTTTATCCCAGCTTTTCCAAGACCCCACTAGATTAAGTCTCCCAGTTTTTTGTTACGGTATTAATTTTGATGCATCTTCCAGTGACTAATAGCAATTTGATTGTCATTACAGCTATATACAATTTAACCATCGTTCCATTTGATGCAGCTAAATGAAATTAGGTTAAGGGGGCATTCTGGTTGTTGTTGTTTTTTGGGGGGGAGGGGGTGGGGGAATAATACTAATTTGGAAAACGAAATAAATTAGGGTAGAGAAGGTGAATACATAAACCAGTGAGTCTGCTTAAATATGGGCTCAGAGGCACCTTGTTGTAGTGGTGGACTATCTGATATTTGTCTATTAATTACTCACTTCCTATTTAAAATTTTAACAACCCCCCAAACCAATATTTTTTGCAGTTTCACAAATTTTAAACATATCATCCTCCATTTTTTTATACAATATAAACATTTGAAAATCATCCCAAAATTCTCAAAAAATTAATGAACCAAGGACTACAACTTAATGGAGTCATCTGTTGATTGCATGAAATCTTGGATTTTAAGAAAAGGGGCGGAAATAAACAAAAAACAATGCTTTTAACCAGACGGCCCCCTTAAGTTGAACTTGAAACAATGCCAGCCAGCAGTCCTTTACACAAGATTATCACGAGTGCTTATATAGCTTTACAGGGGCTGATAGGTTTTAACACTGCTTCTCAGTTTAGGTCAGGTCATTAGTCACTACACGACCTCCAACTCCTTGTACTTGAGCTTTTCCACTTTGCATCGTAGTTCTCTATGGTGAACCATCATCTGTCCAAAATTAAATAACCCCTCCCCCCGCCCCCTCCCAATTAAGCTAAAAAATAAGCTCCCGGGGGGGCTTAATAGAAGATTTACGGTATATTAAATTTGATTAAAGTTCATGAAAAAAATGATTTGGGACCGGACCTGGAAGGGGCATGGCTGGATAAAAGGGGTAGGGTGGGTCACTTTGCCCGGGAGGGTAAGGTGAGTTTGATCGAGGAGGGGTAGTTACAAAAGAGAAAAATCTCCAGCTTTGAGATTCGCAGAAGTTGGCATCTCTACTGTATTTACTACTCTCCGACATGTCATCTCTTTTGAGAAAGTCATTTTAAAACAGTGTTGAAGCTACATTAACTAGCACCAAAAATACTGAGGATATGAGCTTAGATCGTCCGTGTATTAAAAACGACCACGCATTGCGTAACAAATCTAAAAAATTTGACTGTGCGGACAAATTGCATGACTTTGTACAAGTACTCACATTTCTCGCTTCGCCTTCGCATTTGAAGAGGATGTCCCGGCCATTCGAAGACATAAATTCTTAGGAACAAATACGGACGTGGTTCTTGGATTCATCAGGGAACAAAACCTTGAAGATGCCACCAACATCGAACAAACTCTGCCAAACTGAGACGCCATGTTCGAAGACTTTGGCTCACTAGAAAACCTGGGTCCGACGATGAGTCACTTGCATCATTACGTCATCATTTAGATCATTTTATTATTTACAGTAACTGGATTGCTAGCCGAAAATTATTCGGTCAGTTACTTTTGAATCTGAGCATAGGAAAATTTATGTAGGAAAATATATACACGGGGTAGAATTCTTTCATAACGCCGGTTGTGCGAGCTGAATGTCAAAGAATTTCCCTCCCCTACTCCTCCCCCGATGGCTACCTCGCCTTGTAGGGCCGGGCTACCAAGCAGTAATATACATCCGGGAATGCTTGTACGAGCTGCTCATATCCATCTGGTTCGAGAGTGTTTACATCATCATGAAGTTCGCAGTGGTATTTTCCTTGCTTTTTTCATTTGCTTACAGCTCCAAATTGAGCCTTACTGATACAAGCCAGGATAGCAGTACTCAAGTCAATGTGACAGAGTCAGAGAGAGCAAATAAGGAGACTGTTAGCATTGATGTTCAGCGCGTGGATGTGGACCGTGACGCAAATGGCGGCTTCGAAGACGCTAGAATTCTGAAGGTACTCTTTTCCCATTTGATTCGATCACCAAGATATGTTGCTAAAATGTTGTAACAGTCAACGAAATTATTTATTGAAGTACTCTTACTAAGAGCACTGTCGAGATCGTAGCGTGGATGAAAGTTAAAAGAAGTTTAGTTTATTGTACGAAGTGTTCAATGCAGTATTACACAGAATGACGTAGCATTCTCAAAATATTCGCGGACTTCGGCATTAGTGGGGTGTGTGAACTGCGTGCTTCATTAACTACGTTATACCTCTTTTAAAAAGATGTTTTGTCTAGTTGTGTCACTTGAATTGGCAACGCGATCGAATGTTGGTTTATTTTCCTAAAACATGGGGATTGATGCTCGTATTACGAACGAACCTGTGTTCCTTCTTGGTTTCACTTTCTTTGCTGTCTCTGGCAACTTTCTAGGCGTATTCTGGACGAAATTAAATAATAAAGATAGAGTGCAGTAAGCTGATCCTATGTAAAGTTTTTGTTTTTTGGTATATTGTCCTATTCAAGTTCTTGCGTACATTTGCTTTTCCGCAGTTGATTACAGCTGTGAAGCTGTTTTGAAGGCACGTTTGAAACAGTTTTGTTTCTACCCATAGCAGGCGGAATTCGAAAGTCGTGCCAACATTTCAGTGAAATTGTTATCATATGGGTGCTCTTAGTAACTAAGTTGGAAAGTTGGGAAACTTTTCACCAGAATATGAAAGAGGAAATTTTTGTAGACTTTGCTAGCGTCAATACAACCCACAGACAGCAGTAAGAATTTCCGTATCTGTTATTTATTTCAGCTTAGAAAAGCTTGGATAGGTTTGATATGATGGCAGTCATGATAAAAAATGAATGTCATTTATTGGTAAGCCACAAAAAAAATAATAATTATTCAAACAGCTGCAGTTTAGTGTTGGTCTATAAAAGAATGCATGCATATTATTAAATGCATGCATTAATACGCTGAGTTGCACATTTAACTTTCATGAGTTGAAAGCAACATTTCCTGCTCTTTTGTTGGATGGGTATTTGGCTTATTATATCTCTTAGAAGACTCTGGACAGTGAATATAGATGTGGTCTTTTGTATACTAATATACTACATATATACTACAGCGACGTTATTTTGTCGGTGTTGTTATGGACTTTGAGATGGGAAAAAACAACGTTGTTTGAACTTCCCTAGAAACTGAAAGTAAACCAGGAACAATAGAATTTGATGTTCATGAGCCACAGGGTCTCAAAGGAGAGGTCAAAAGGAACTGGTTTTTAAAAAAGTATAATTTTTAGACAAAGGTTTCTTGTTCTAGTTGACATTTACATTGGTGCCTACTTTATAGGCCAAAACTCTTCTGGGATGATCACATACATAAGCAGTCAAAAAACACCACCAGGAAAACAACTGTTAGATTGTGGTTTGCCTTAAATATAAACAGTAATATGAAACCCCCATTAACAGTCATACAAAAAATTAAGGCACTGAATGATAAATTAGATGTTTGCTTGAACAGTTTTGACTTTGGCTTGTCCAATTAATTTACTGCAGTCAATTGACTTGGCAGTGGAGTGTTATCTGTTTTGAAAATTACTGAGGTGTAAACTTCATTCAGAGGTGGTTGAATTTTTTTTTTATTTTTTTTATTGCAAGTAAAACACACACAGAAAAGAAACAAAAATTACACAGAATAAATAAAGTAATAAAAACAAAAAACAAAAAAAAAATAGCAAATTTACACACTTACATGGCAATATACTTACAAATATTAAAATACGTTACAGCAGTGCTAATTCCATATATTACCAGGGTTGTCACTAAGGTTTCAAGTTGCCGGGTAAATACAACAAGTAGGCGGTGAATCAAACGGCTAGGGATTTCTTTTGGTTCTATTTTTCTTCTATTTTCCAATAAAAGTAGCCGGGGGCCACTCTCTTAGTAGCCGGGGAAAATCCCCGGCCCCCGGCTCTTAATGACAACCCTGTATTACTGTACTTAGTACGATCTACAATTAATTTTTACATTTTTTTTTCTTTCTTTGTGGTGAAAGTAATATAAATACTCATGGTAGGTGCACATGTTACTAATTTATGTTTTTGGAGTTAGGAGACAAGATCCAGCGAGGAAAAGAAAGGTTTCCATTTTTTTATATTATTTAAAGAGCATGGAAAATGTACTTTTTGCCATGAAGAGAAAGAGGATTTGACGCATCTATTTTGGAAATGCCGAAAAAACAAAAATTTTTGGGATAATTTCTCGGTATGGCTTCAGTCGTGCCAGATCCTCCAACCAGGCAGTTACTTAGACATGACTACCGCTTTGGGCCTAACGCCAGACAGCTCTTCCTTTAAGCTCCATGTAAACTTCTGTTGTCTTATAGCTAAGAACTTTATCTGGATATGCAGCTAGATCAAAAGAATGTCTCCCAATTCACAACAATTTCTTGTTTTATCTGAGACATATATACCAATTAGAAAATAAGACACCGCGCAATACAAAAGGTGGTTGAAACTTGCAAGAACATGTTAACTGTATGGTTACAGGTCAAAATTAAATTCTAGTTGAATTTTTGCAACCTTGGTAGTTTCCCAATTTCCTTTGTCTCTTAGCCCTAATCCATGAATATTAAAGGACTAGGAGGACAAGGAAATCAAGAATCAACCCAGGTTGAAAAATTTTAACCTGAATTTATTTTTGGCCTGCAGGATGCAAAGAAAATCATTTTTACAGCTTGCCTTTCTGGCAAGCTGAAGCTAGCATTTACTAGCCCAGTTGTCATTTCAACTAGCCCCAAAAGCTTTTTGACAAGCAAAATTGATTTCACAGTTCTTCTGTTATGCAAATTCCTCAAAAAAACATCACTTGCCCATCTGGCAAGTTAAAAACAGAATTCTCTGCCCAATAGCAAAATCCACTTGCCCCGGGCTATCAGACACTACTCTCTTTGCACACTGACCTGTAACACATATACAATCTTTGTGAATAATGTGTGCTATTTTAGGTAAAACCAACTTTATTTGGGCTCAATTTTATCCTTTGTTAAAATTTTACTTTCCTTTGTGTCAAAGTCATGAACATGCAAGTTTTTTATATAGTTTGAAATGGATATTCACTTATCCTCACTTTCTTTAAAATGTAGATTACGTATGTAACTAAATTCTGGCTTCATGGCTAAAACACAAACTAATGTTCACCTTAAGGAAGACAAAAGGAGGAAGGAAAAGCTAAAAATACTTTGCACCTGGTAGAAAACAAGCTGTAGGGAAAACAGTTAGGAAATAACATTGCATTAATCTTTGATTAGAATGAAACTTACTAAATAGTGAAAAATAATGAAACTCTCTAAATAGTGAAAAGTTTAAGACAAGTTATTATTAACCACAATGCTATTTAAAAATCATCCTTCACTGGAGAGTTTTGTTATTTGTCATATGCCAGTTACCAGCCACCGTAATTAGGAAAAAGAAGAGTTACAGCTGTCAGTAAGTGACAGCCATAATGCAAGATCATTTCAAGTTTTGTGACATGATATTCATCCTGCTATTAAAATGGCCACCTGCATGAACAAATAATAATATTTGACGCATGGCCACGTTTTTTGACATGTAAAAAAAAAGTTCATTGTTCTAAAAATTATTTTGATATTTTCCCACAGAAACAACTTCCTCTTATAACATTTGTTTTGTGTTTCAATAGTGATCGGTGTCTATTTTCTCCTTTCAATACTGAATACCCCCCCCCCCCAAAAAAAAAGGGAAAAAAGTATGAGATAATTTATAAGAAGCTTGAGAGAGTTCTGTGACCTTGAGCTTACTCTTACCCAAATAGTTGCAGAAGCATTGAATTTCCTGCTTCTAATGGTATACTCTGTCCAATCCGAAGCAGGTATTTTCAACTTGTTCTGGAACTTTTTTCTTTTTTGCTATGTTAACCCTTTCACCCTGGGAGATTTTGTCGAAAAACGTATTTTGAAGCTAGTCGAGTGGTTTTCTGGTCACTATTGTGCTATTAAGAGCTAAAACTTGACGCAAAGCCGTTTACAGGTCGTACACTTCACAGCCTTCTGATCCAGGTGCAAAATATCAGCTTGTGAAGTTCAGGCATGCGCAGAAAGCAAAATGTTGAGACAGTTTTGGGGTTTAAAAGTGACACAGCAGTATTGCCTTTTACTTGTTGCTTTCTCTCCTCTCTTCTTTTTTCGTTTTTCTTGCCTCAGTTTTTTCTTTCGCTGGACATTTAGTATGCTTCATTTTGGTGGGAAAAGTTTTTAGGAAAGCTTTTTGGATCCTAGTATTACGGTAGATGAAAGGAAAGGTAGGTGGGTATAGTGGAACAAGATTTTTGTGGCAACCTACAATTTTGCCATTTTTTATTGCAATGAAAAGTTACAGAACAGTATAATATTATTTGGAAATATGGCTAAAAAGAAGTTGGATGATGAAAGTAACATGCCTTTAAACAAAAGAGGTATTAAGAATCAATAAGTCCCCAATAGTTTTGTTTACTACACATTAAAGTAACAATCCACAAAATTCAAGGTTAATCAAACAAATCACTTTGAGTTTTAGCTTTTGAAAGCTGAATCAGATGCATGAACTTAAAAATCACCAAAAATTGACAGTGTGAGATTTCAAAAAAAATGTTACTTTGTTCATAAAGATAGCCACTTCAATTATGTGGATATGGATTTTAGGTATCTGCTGTTAAACTGCACTACATGTACATAACTTGCAAGAGACTCCTGAATGTAGAGTGTGTATCTGGTAACCTTAAGTTGGCCATAGTTTTCTTAAACAGTATTTCCTCAAATAAGCTGCTTGGTGCTTATTGGAAGGAGGTCACTAAATCAAGGGGCGAATGCTTATTAAGTTCTCCTGTTGTTAATCAAGCTTACCTTAGTCCCATTATACAGTTTACACGCAGAGTCATCACAGTGTTCCAAGCTGCGACCATTTTGGTCGTCATGGCAAGTAGAAAAAAATTTCAGCGACTAAAATTGTGGTGAAAGTCACCAATTTGACGACCTGTGTCCAGCAATCTCATGCCAAGATATTCCCAAGAAATTCCCGAGATTTTGTGAGATGCATTTTCATTTATGCTTTGTTTTCTTGATAACTTGCCTAATTTCACCCTGGTTCTCCGGGTATTAATCCTTGAGATGTCGCGTTCACCTCCAAACTTTATTGCAATGGTTGGGCAGTCATTTTGATTCTGTCAAACGCTCATGTAGTCTGAAACAAAGTGTCCCTTTTTTCTGGCAACCAAAATTTTATGTCTGGCGACCATTTTGAAATTTTGGATCGCCGGAAGGCGACTCTGAAAAAAGTTAAGCCTGGAGCATTGCATCAATAAAGTGGCAATAGAAACAGGTTTTCCTTGTATCCCTATCAAGAAAGTGAAGGGGGAGGAGAGGGGGTGCGTATTTGAGGGGGATGCTTGTTTGATATTTTGGCCTAGGGGCTGGGTGCTTATTCAGGGGAGGGCACTTATTAAAGCATTTATTACATTGAATAATTAATAATATCTTTTAATGCACAAGTATAACCAGTATTTTGTTTTAACAGGTAAACATCAGAGTGAGTGTTATTGATGGTGTGGTTCATGTCAACAACTCCAAAGCTATTCATAAAGCTGTTACAACCTTCCACTTCTATGCAGAAATTGGTAAGACAAAATGATATTGGACACAAAAAGATCAATTGTTATAATTCAATAGAGAGGAGAAGTGTACCATCATGTTACCATGATAGCAAAATTTCTGGATCGTACATGTAACAATATTTCTTGATGGCAAATTGCATTTGTGAATGATGGAAGAAAAGTATGGGCTACAATTTTGTTCCTGAGTGCAACCATTTGTGCCAGACCACAGTTTGTTGAGATCCAGAAATTTTGCTACCATGGCAATGTGACATAGTGACTTCTCCTGTCTATTGACTCTCTTGTAAACAATCATCTCTGGATAAGCAAGTTTGGTGATTTTCCAGGAGATGGTACATAAAACTTACATTTATTTTAAAGCACTGCAGCTTTGATGTTGGAAGGCCCCAAGTTCAAGTCCCAGCCTGACCTCTAGCTGTATTTGTTTCTCCTTTGCCCGAAGTACCCCCTACGCCGCACTTGAAGACTACAGTATAAATAGTCAACTTGTTCACCTTCTGCCCATTGCAATTCTTAACCTTATTATGGCTAAAACTAGTAATAACCGCAGTCAAATGCTTTTGCTCAAACACTGTACTTTTGTATAAGTTTCACTTGACAGATTGTTGAAACATGCATGATCAGATTATGCAGGGTAGAAGTTCGAAACGCCCCTGATCAAATTGCGTTTTGTGCATTCCATTCATTCTTAGTAGAAGTCCAAACGAATGCTGGCTACATACATGCAGTGCATGCATAATAACAACCTTGAGATTAGGATTGCGGGCTCCTCTTGTCGCCCGCAAAAAGCTGGTCAGTGGACAATGTCTGGCCAAGATGACCATTTGTCCCGACGAATTTTTGGTTTGCAAGTCATTTTGACTGGACAGGTTCCCTGTAAATGGAATGGAATGATTTTATTCAAGTTGTACGTTTTACGTACACTTTTTCTTCAGGAGGAATTATATTTTTGCTTGTTAGCTATTACGTCTAAAGGTCCTGGTTTAAATGATTATTGCATTATTTTTAATACCCCGTGTATTTTGTTTTGTTCACAGACTTAGTCTTAGAGTGACAGATTATCTCCTTATATTTTAGTCCGGGCCCGCTGTAATTGGCCACATCTGTTGCGGTGTCCCTGCCAACGTTCTTTCTGTTTGTTTGTTTGTTTGTTTGTTTTTTGGCGAAGTAAATAAAATAAAATAAAATAAAATAATTTATTATCATTAACCAAGAGTTAATTTTATGGTTCTTTGACATTTTTGCAGATGAGATCGGCAAGAATAGAGAAGTGTTGCAGCACATGACAAGTGTTCCTATTGTAATCAGGGTCTTGGTGACTGAATCTGAAGTCCCTGCTAATGATGGAGGAGTCTTCAAAGTACTGAAGGTTGAAGAGGAGATTATCAGGGTGGACGGCAAGGACGTTCAGCAGATCAAAGTGAAGCAGTTTGTGATGAAACTGGATTCTGCCAACAATGAGCTCCTTGCTAAGCGTGAAGTTACAATGATTGAGTTGAAAGATTCAGAGATACACAAGCGGCCTAAAGAAAGCGACAAGCATCAATATCCCCACGGTATTTAACACTGAACATTTGTTTTACCTAACACCATCTTCTCAAAAATAGCGTAACCCATTATGTCCTAAGAGTGACCAAAACCTATTTTGTCCCAACAATATCAGTAAATAATTAAGAGAAAAGGTTATGAGAAGTAATAAAATGATCAGCAAAGGAAAAATGCTTTGATCTTGACTTTTATCAAATTGCCTCAACTAATTCTTTAAGGCAATGTATGGAGACTAGTTTGGAGTCTATATAACTGAATATTAGGGCTTAAAGGGTTGAGTTTTTTAATGTAACCCATGCTTCAGATGTAATTAAATGCCAGTACAATGTCTGCAATGTATTTAGGAATGTCAGAAAGTTTTGAAGTAGATGGCTGAGTAGTTCAGGGATATTTTATTTAAAAAACACCATCTGTGACGAAATGCCATGGTAATTGGCAAGGGTTGACCGGAAAGTTTGTGCAAGTCCCAAGACATTTTTTGACACCTAAGAAACACAAGTATTTAATCAGGGTGGAGATCGTCTTGTATCAGTGAACCCTTGAAGTGGCCAGTGTTCTTCCCTATGACCCCCTCGGTATGTTTAGGAAGAGTACCATGAACAAAGTTTCCATTTCAAATTATACATTTAACTTTGTTCCTGTTGTTTCAACAAGTTTTGTTTCTTTGTGTATGACACATTAATTTCCTTCTTTTTAACATGTTACTCTTTCTTTCGGATTAATCTCCTTTTATTAAGTCATTTTCCCTTAAATTCATGTCAGTCTAAGTCACGTGAATTTCCAGTACCTTAACTTCTTGGAGCGTTAATTCCTTACAATAAGGTAATTGTGTGTTCTTCACATACATGTAGCTATCATCATCCCAATGATGCAGAATTGTACACTGTGCACCGTGCAGCTCATATTACTCTTGTTGTTCTTTAGGTCGACTTCCAGACGAGCCCTACAAACAGCCCAAGCTTCCTGAACATCCTTACAAAGTTGATGAGGTAAAGTTTATAATACATTAAACAGTGTGTAGTATCAGACATCAGTTACTGGACTTTCTTGGTCATTCTAAGTTGGACCCCTTAATAAACCAACTTAAGGCTTAACCATTGTCTGCTTGTTTATTTTTTAACAAATATACTTTTAAAATCAATAAGGGAGAAGGGGAGAGAAAAGAGTCTCTTTAAATAACTATAAAAGTATTTAGTAGTGCTTAATAAAATGTAAGTTCTCCTGCAGTTTGTGACCTTTTGCCTTGCATTTTTTTTCTCTTGTTCAGACCAAGAAAGGATTCTGCTCAAAGTTCTACAAACTCCCATTTGCTGCCCGCGTTGCAGTGTTTGCGCTGGTTGCTGTGATTGGTATTGCCACTTTTAGCTGTTGCTTGTGGGTCTTCTGTTGCAAACCACCAGCTCAGGGCAAGAAGATTGACTTGAAAGATTTCGAGGACAAGTTTTCGTATGATGGAGAGTTTGAAGCACCAGCTCTAGAGCAGAAGTTGCCAATTGAGAAGCAGAAACTGGTCATCGATGCATGAAATTACTCAGTAGTGTTCAGTTTCTTGTTGCAATTTTTATTTAGTATCAATTAAAACCATGTAAACTAAGTTTGCACATGCAAAACAGCACCAGTTCGGCTTAATTAGTTGTTTGTAGGGCCTTTCTATCTCTCGCGTTTTAGTATTTACCAAGAAGTTCTGTGCATGATGCCTTTACAACATCATTAATTTTTTTAAGCCATGCTAAGTAGACTACAGTGTACAGTCCTATCACGGGAAGAGGCTGAGGTGAACTCCCTCTTGTCCCTTTATACTTGCTGCAGAATTTTAGTTCCCCAGTCCTCCCCCCCCCCCGGGGGGGGGGCGAGGTGGGGCTTTGACACTAAGACCTTTATAGTTGTAAAGGGGCACAGATCAGGAGTAGAAAAAGATTGAGGCTTAAAATTCGTAAAGTTCTAAGCAGGGATGTAGCAAAGAGCTGGCTGCCCACTACTGGCTCAATTTACTCTGGGAAGTGAAATGGCGGCAAACAAGATGAGTTAAATACCAACAGGGACATGGCCTGCTTCTCAGAACAACAGTACTTGAAATTCAGACTAAGGACATACGTCGTCTTTCTCCCCGCCCCCCTTCCCCAGGAGGGCCTTGCTAATAAGTATCCAATAAGCCTGCTTAGCTTTTCCTAAAGCTACATCCCCCTCAACTACATCCCCCTAAGCTACATCCCCCTAAGCTACATCCCCCTAAACTACATCCCCCTAAGCTACATCCCCCTAAGCTACATCCCCCTGAACTACATCCCTGTTTACAAAATCTATTTCTCGGCATAGCAGAAGTTGTTAGTAGTTGCTCATTGTTTTTGCAGTCTTGTAAAAGGAATCAGCATGAAGGTAGGACGCTTTACTTTGACTGCTCTTCATTTTGTCTTACAAACAGCAGATTAAGCAGTAACGTGTTCTTAGGGTATTTACTTTTGCAGCTTTTCGTATTTATGATTGGTGGAACTTGTATTTTTTTTTAGTTTACTACTTTAAACCGATTTAGAACAAAAACTAACTATTTTGCAGTCTATATGGCATTGTGTAGGTGTCCTAAGGTGTCCAATCTTAGTAGTTCATATTCAAGTAATACAACTGCATCTTAAGAGACCAGTTTTGAGAAGAGGGCGAGTAAAGAAACGTCTTTGAAGAGAGGCCTTTGGGCCATTCTTGATAAGTACTATTTTGAATGTCAATTGAATTTGGTAGAATTAATTCAGCTTTAGCTGAAAAGTGAATATTGTACTTTTGTATGCTATGCGAACAAAGGTCAAACTGGTCGTGAATTTAGTTTAAAAGTCGTTGAAGTTAAAAACTTTGACGGCTCACTTTGATGTTTGATGCACCAGTCAACCTTGTTACTGTGACCTATCACACGGAATGTTGAAAGGTACATTTGTATTTCGATTTTGTTTGTAAATAGAGTTGTAAACACTTGTTAAAAAATAAACTCAGCTTAGCCGCACGTAAACTTAGTTGAAATCATTCTTTGTGGTATTAGGCTGATTTAGTTACAGAACGGGAACGTCAGTTGACGACGGCGCGCGCAAATCAAACAACTGGCTTCACCAATGGCAGAGCGGCAAATTGAGCACGGAAGTCGAGTTTAGTCCTTTTCGCGCGCTTTCCCGTCGTCAACTGACGTTCCCGTTTTGTTGCTAAATCAGCCTATTATTAACACCTAAGAATTCCCCAAGGGACTGATGTATTTGTACGCTACTCACTTGTGTCGTCATACTGTGTAGCCTGAATCAGGCTCTTAGGTAGGAACGTCTCGAAAATAGGCCATTTGCACGACGACGTAAGTTTACTACGAAGACCAAAATCCTTCAGGATTTTGCTTTCTTGTGCTAATTAGGGCTTTTGTTATCGAGACCTCCCTGGGATTACCAAATGAGTATATGAAAGGAAAAACGAAAAGGATTCCGGTCGTAGTAAAATGACGCCATCATGCAAATGGCCTATAGAGCTAGCAAATCGAAAATATGGGTGATTTTACACAGGACGATTCGCGGCAACGACTTTTAACGCAACACAGGGTTCCATGGTTGAAACAATGCAGCCATGCGAAACAATGTCTCCCCGATATTGTAACGCTGTGTTGATCTAAAAATTGTCGTTACGAATCGTCTAGCCTGCGCCACAGACGAAACTTAACTCTGGTTAAGTCCGTCTGCGAAACAGCGCCGAAATCCTTATTACCCTCCTCCACAGACATTCTTTTGGCTCGTCACGCAATCCTCCTCCGTGAGGCAGGAACGCGTGACGAACCCTAAAAGTGTCCGCGTGGGAGGCTAGTACATGCCATGATTGGCCTGTTGAAAAAGCCATTGTCGATTTGCCAATCAGATTGAAGGAAAACTCGAAGCGTGTTTCCGGTAATTCTTCGAGTCCGTTGGGGGCCCAGAACAAGGATTACGGCGCTTCTTCGGAGACGTTACTAACAAAGGTTGAGTTACGTCTGCGACGAAGGCGACGAATCGTCCCATGTAACATCACTTTAAGACGCGCGCGATCTGGGAAAGGGGGCGGCGGCGGGAAAAATGGCGCCGGCGCGTTTTTCGCATCACTTTTAACTGAACGAGTGCTTTACAATTTTGGAGCTTGGAGCAGACTCCGATCCAAGCCGCCCTGGAACAGGCTAGAGGCAGTGCTCTTTGAGAATAAGAAATAAAATTATTTTGAGTAAACTCAGCTGAAAATATAAAACCCAATTCTTGAATTTCACTCCCCAACTGACCGATACAATATCCACTGTTTCTTTTGAAACTAACCGCTTCTTTCTTGTGGACGAAACCTTGTTTTTGATACTTCTAACTTCTTTAATTGTCTTAGAGAATTTCCAGAATAACCGTCGCACGTCGTACACTGTCGCGCCTTCGTTTCGCCTTGTCCACCGAAATTTTAGCAACAAGACAGAAATAGAACCTTAACTCAGATTATTCCAGAAGAGAAGGAATAGCCCTAGAGCAAATATTTTTCTCAACAATAATTGACGCCTTGCACGCGGTTGGGGGATTCCCTAGGGGTACAAAACCGTCACAAAGCGAACACAGAAAAGTTAATCGAGTACCGCCCATATTTTACACCCTGCCAAACAACACAGTTTCACAGCTGAAGCGCGCAGCAGCGATAAATAAACAAACGATCCTTCGTTTCATCGTGTTATTTCTAGGGTAAATCAGAAGAATTGAGATCAAAGCAAAACTGCAAGGTAAAAGAATGTTTAAACATATGCCAGCTGTGCTTACCAATCATGGAAAGCGGTGATTATTCAGGCAAGTGACGCACTATTTAAATAGAGAAGAATAAGTACAAATTGGCGGCAATTTTCTTCTTCTTTTCTTTTTGTTTTTTTGGATTTTTTCTAATAGCACCGTTAATAACAAACCAAAATCATCGAAGCCATGCCAATGAACGTCTTGTTGCAGGTATGTGTGTGCTTTCCTTATAAGGAGGTGATTGATAGAAGAGCGCACGGGTGGCAAGAAAAAAGCCATTCAACTACACACACCACTGCGCACGCGGACGGCGCATCGATGATGCCTTTCTTCCGCTATTGTTTAAATTGTAAACCGTGAACGCGCGCCAACGACCTGTTCAATCAAAATATTGTGTATCAAAAGCCTCCTAAAAAGATCATGTCACGGTGTAGAGGGGAATAATTGCCAAAAATCTGGAGCTAATTTTTGTGCGGGCCTTTCTCATGGGTTAGGAAGCCATGGAAGAAGTTTTGTCCAGCCTAGCTCACGATGCCACGTCGAACAAAGTTAAGACTGTTCGGGACGCGTGTATTTCGGCGACGGGTAAGCTACGTGCAGTTGGGAAAAAGTCTCTGCTGAATGAATCAAAGGCTGATTATCTCGGTTTTCGCTTTTCAGATGGTTTATTCATCAATCGTAATGGAACGCGAAAAATGCAACCACACGAGCTTAGGTAAGAAATTCACAGTAAAGGCCCTCTAGCCTTGTCACTCTGCTACGGGTACGAAAGCGGAGGCAGTGATGGATGTTTTAAGAGCAGCTAAAGACAGCGTCCTGTTCTTTTTCTCAGGGAGAAGTGTTTCTTGCCTCTCAAACTTGCCCTGGAATCAAGATCAAGCAAATTATCTCTCCACGCCATAAACGGACTACAGGTTAGGAACTTTTTTTCGTAAGAGACTTATTTCAGGCTATAATTCTTGTTATTTTCTGTTTTGCACGGTCAATGAATGGGAATAGTGTTATTAATTAATGAACGCCTTTGATGAAAGGAGTTTGAAGTTAAACCAATTCTACGGATGAGAAATCCGGGTCTTCGAGAAAACGAGCTAGAATATGGCACGATAGAAAAAAAAAAGTACGTAATTAATCCGAGAAAACAAATACCTCATTTCCATTACTATTTATTAGGATATCATTTTAGGGATGGAAACAATATTGAAATTTGCCCCTCTAATTTGAATCTCTGCTGTTTCTAAAGTTTGAATTCTTATCATTAACTTTCATTTCCATGACAAGCTTCCGTAACTTCGATACAGGGTATCATTTGCAGAAAAATGGAGCATTATCACCCCATGATGAAAAACTTTACAAAAATACTACAATATATATTAACAGTGTTTATGCCAATATGTCTCAATTCCAACTCCGGTTTGTATTGAATCAGCTGACTGAATAATAATTTACTTCTTAATTTTCTAAATTGAATTTTTTCGCTCTTTCCTACCTCTGATTATTCTCTTTGCGCATTATTGTTTCCTCGATTTTATTATCGCTTACAAAAAAGAACGTGTTTGTTTTGGACACTTTTCCGAGTACTTCGCACTAATTCACACTTTTTGAGTTTCCACTATCCTATCTACAGGAGCGAAATTTAACAGGCTTTCACTAATGGGAGGTCCGATCATGAAAATGGAGAACTTTTAACATTCGTCTGACAAAACTATTTGTTCAGGCTTCCAAAGTAGCTACAGCAACTGTCTTTACTTAAAGTGGCCTTCTTTTAGGTCTGTTAACCGTTTTTCTCAAGGAAAGCCGGAGATTTTCTCGTTATTAACGTGAAACTATTAACCCTGCTCTTGATCTAAACGAAAACAAGGCATTTTTAGCTGAGTAAGTTTCAGAAAGATTCTAAAGAATCTCTCATTTATGTTTGGTCCACTATAAATAATTTATCCCATCCTCGTGGAATAGATCAATCGCTCGTATTTACTAATGTCAGCTTGAAATGCGCGTTAATTTTGGTGTTCTCTCTCCCAATAACCTGTCGTTTACGAGAAATTAAAATTTGGACAAAAGTAGTTAACTCGGGCGATCAATTTTCTTAAAATGCGAATCTTTGTACCAAGTTAATATTCTTTCTTCGTTGGTAGGTAGAGTAAATTGTACGCCGCGGCTTCCATGTGCCACGTACATCTCAATAAATTGGATGCAACATCTTGTTGCTCACGGAATCCTATAGTTGCGTTTGTTATACAAAATACCAGAAAAGGCTCGCTTTTCGCTAACGCGTCCCTGTCGTTTGATAACCTGTTATTGTCTATTCATGACTTTCAGGCTAGTTTCTCGTCCTTTTGTTCGTTACAATCACCATCACAAAAGTGAATCATATGGCCCTGGTTTAAGCCCGTTGCGTTTTCGTCTTGAGTTAAAAATTGAGATTTGTTTTTCGTCTCAAATGTAGGAATGTAAACGCTCACTAAGATATCAAATGCGTTTCGTCAATAGTCCGAGATTTAAATTTCACACCAGCATTTTGCCGGTCGTTTTAAGTGTCGATACCTGTAATATTCGTCACCGGAGTGAAAAGAGAGTCTGTCTTAGTTTTAAGTAACGCTTCAAATGACATGATTATTGGAGTTATAACAACCAAGTGATTCAATACCATAAATTAATCTACAGAGTCTTCTCGCTTTTTTGTTGGTTTATTTGTTGAAAAGACGTAGGGCTGAGATAAATATTGCCTTTTTGCGTCAACTTTTGCACTTAAAATTTTCCATTGTTTATAACAGAGTTCATTCAGTTTCCAGAATGAACAGGAGTTCGACTTCGAGCCAGGTTATGTCCCCACTGAGAACGTTTATTCTCTACCCGTCCAACCTGAGGTTTTGTTCAAACATACTCCATAATTATAAACGAAGGCAACGAAAACGTAAAAAGAGCGAACAAGGTCGAGCAGGCAAAACAACAACTTTGCACGTGCAGCAAAGTTTTTGGTACATTTACTCGCCGTCACTGTAACTATGACAAAATGCAACTTTGCACAAAATTTTCTTTCTCTTTCTGGACTGCATTGCAAAGTTTTTCCAGAAGGGTCGCTAAGCTGTAGAGTCTTTGGAGATTGAAATGACTTTACATTTTCGCCCCCCGTCACATGGTATCGAAACTATGACGTTAAAATGGGAGACCTTTGTGAAAATATTTTGATTGCGTAAGCGATGGCTTCAAACGGTTTATGCGCTTACACCGCGATCCCTTCAGTCGAAGCTCTTCTTGCGACCATTCACCCAGCCAAAGCTTCACCTTGAATTGCGAAACCCCGTTTGAAAAGCTTTGGTAAGCGATGGCTTCGGTTTGCGCGGACTGCGATCCCTTCTGTGAAATTCCCTGCGGGTCTTTTCGTCTGCTTTTAAGTTCCCTAAAGAGACTACGTACTTAATCCCGAGAGGTAACTTATGGGAAGTTTGGTAGGGATGTTTCGTTGAGGCCTTTAATGTTAAGGGCATCCTTACTTATTAAAACTAGCGCTAATGCATCAGTCACTTCCACCTGCGCCCAGCCCCCTCCCCCCCCCCGGGCAACTGCGGGGCATTTGCCCACCTTGTCAGTCCCGGGGGTGGGACATTTGCAAATGTTGCACTGCCCGGGGGCCAAGCATTTGCCAACCCCCGGGCCAATCCCGAGCTTTTGACACGCATGCGTACGCGGTTCCCTATCAGAATATAACTACAAAGAAGGTTTTACTGGAAGAAAAGCAGATTGGCTCATTTGTCAAGGACAGGAACAAATTGTAGAGGGTTGTAACGGCATGTTCTTGATTTTACATGTATGTATGCATTTTTTCATTGCTTATCAAGCCAGAATTACGTAGCGAAATTGGAGCTATCGATGTGAATCAACGTTTTTTAGTTATTGAATCAAATTTCTGTTGATATTATTTGAAGAACATCCTTTCATATTTATAAAACTATTCATAACATATAACTTTACAGCGCTCTTTTAATTTTAATGTCAATAATTTTATACCAATACTAAAACCATAAACTGGTGCATGTCGTCGCGGCGCAAAGTCTTAATTAGAATCCTCGCGCTATTACAAAAAAAAAACGTTAATTAAACCAAAAAATCGCACATTAAAATGCTTAAAACGGCAGTATTTGACTGTGCGATCAATAAAAAATGTTGCAGTGTTGACGGAGGACGGGGCATTTGCCCTCTTTTTTCGTCCCCACCCCGGGGGATTTGACAGCTCAAGAGTCCTCACCCCCGGGAATTTGCCATCCAAGGCAAAAAAAATGCTAATGCCCGGGGGTCAGCCCGCGGGGGGGGGGGGGGGCTTGGCGCAGGTGGAATTGACTGATGCATAAAGAAACCATTACAAAAGTCAGAATTCACAGTTGACGTAAATAGCAGAGTTAAAACCTTGTCTTTCAGTCATTGGTATGATGACCGAGCGTAATCAACATTCACACCATATCTGCAGTAGCAATAAGAATTTTCCAAGCTAAGTCCATGGCATTTTCATCAGTTACAGTTCACATGATGTTCTACGTGGCTTTGCCGCGTTCGTGTAGTTTTGACAGTACGAATACAGAATTCAAATATTAGCTTTGTGTCAGATACAGCATTACAGTAACTTTTCTCTTAGTTATTAGCTGTTACTTTCCTTTTGAATTCTGTCTAATATCTTAAAAGCAGCAACTAAATACGCTGTCAATTAAACATATGGTCATTTGTCAACATGATCGACAGGCATCATTAAATGAAAACGATGTGTTATTTACAATATAGTGTTTCTCCTGTTAATACTGCAACCGTCATTAACACGTCGCTCCTACATTGTCTAAATCAAACTACTTCTAGAGCTTTTTTACTTCCTTTGACTTAAAGCAGAGCCACAACGCTAACAATTATGCGTAAATCACCTGCTACCCATGTCGAATCACTTACACGAAACGGTAGAAGAATTGCCTAGCTTGCATACAGACGTCTCGACCGCAAGACCAAGAAAGTACCACATTTTTGTAAAACATCCAAAACCTGTGATTAATGCCATGCTGAGGAATGTTCTATTTTTCCCGAGGTTTTACTTTGATAGCGCTCTTCTATCAAACTTCACAAGGTTTTTCTAGACATGTTATCTACATCGCTTTGACGACTTTGATGGCTCCCAATAATGTACCGACAAACTAATTCTTCGAGTGCGAGCATCCGTTTATTTTAATAAACCGATGGTCACAGGAGCCCATAACCCGGAGCGAGCAATTCCCACACTAGGCCTATGTTACGGCGTTTTTACGGACCAGTGTATCTTTAGATACATTTTAGGGCACTTTTTCTAGTCTGCGTAGCAGGCGCTTGGAATTAGTGGGTGCAAGAAAGAACTGGTACACCAGAGGGAGACACGCATGTCTCCCTCTCACGCGCCCGTCTTGCGCCCACTACTAGAGCCTGCTACGCAGGCTACACTTTTTCCCACGATAATAGAATCTCCACCATGTCCTCTATGAGCGCATTCCAAGTCTAAGATATCAAAGAGGAAAACTAAACGTTAGGTTTTGCTGACTGATTTGTCAAATTTAAAAGATATTCAAAATTCGCGCCAAAACCGTTCTAAAAATAAACTGGTCCGTAAAAACGTCGTGACATGAACGCATGGAAGTTGCTCGCTCCGGGTTATAGGCTCCTGATGGTCATAACTGAGCCCGCTGTACTGAAGCGCAGACATATTAGGCTCGAAGCTGTATCCTGGCAACATGCAGCGCATGCTCAACAAAGATCGTACTCTTTTCAGGCAAAGTCTTTCTCAAGTACGCCAAAATCGAGCAAGCGAAAGAAGGGCTCTACTGGTAGGATTCCAATAATGCAAAACAAATCGATCAAAATCAAAACTTTCTTGGAGTGAAAGTCGTACAAGGAGTAGAAAATAGGGAGCTTAAGCAACCACTACGACGACCACAACGACGACTTCAAAAAAACAATAGGTTTAATGATCAAAACAACAGCTCTGCACGTGCATCTCGCTTTTTAGTACATTTCTTTGACGTCCACTGCACGACTACGACGTGAAAGCTCCTAATTTGACGCTTTATGGGGGACGTGGACATACTACGACGAATTTCCCTCCATCTTTTTGAGACTGAATAAAATCCGTAAGAATTCAACTACAGGAAAAGTCGCCTGCATTTGACTTATTGAGCGGATCCAAATAGACGCGATTAAGTTTGAAAGAACTTAAATTCATTTTTTTACCATCGTTTTCACTGCTGTCGTGGTCGTCGTTGCTTAAGGTCGCTAAAAGAACCCTTCAAACCTCACCACTCCACCTCCAAAACATCTTGAATGCTAAATTGCGAGGTTCCGAAATCTATCGAACCCATCAAATTTGTCAAAAATTCATAGAACACTGGTTGTAAAAGCTGATGTCCAATATCTTGTGTGCTATTGATATGTCAATATGTTGTGCAATATTGGTGAGCGCCATGTTCGCTGTAATTCAAATTTTGGGTTGAGTAACTAAAGTAAGCAAAGCGTTGAGTAAGTAAAGTATTATACCAAACCACCCCTCAAATTTACAATCTTATGACAGAAGTGACATGATCATACCACACGTTTCAAAGCGCTAATGCGTATTTATTTTGCTAGTTTTGCTCATTTGACAGTTTGACTTTTTGACGAATTCAATTTTCAGAAGCTGATTTCTGATGACCGTTTCCGCTCCGAGAATGAGGAAGACCCCGAAAGCCAACTTCCGGTTCAATTCCTGTCCACAGTAGCGTCCACTCCCTCCCTGGCAGACGAAGTACAAGTGGAAGTGATGAAGGTCCGTGTCATTATGTCTTTATTTCTCTTGTATCTATCAGTACCGCATAAATTAAATATTTTGCTTTAAGGTCGACTGAGATAGAGTGTTTTAATTGCGTTAAAAGTGTGCCTCTTTGATTCTTTGCTCGGTGCCCACAAAAGGCATCGCGGTCAAGCAACTGAAAGCAAATAAAGGTTTTTTAAAGAACAAACCTTTAGACAAAAGTGTAGACTGATATATTCGTCACTACTGGACGTTCTCAATTCAACTCTTCGTTTCTTTTCAGACTTTTTTTTATCTAGGCAGTTATTCATTTCAGCTAAACAGACCAAAGATTTGAATTTCCTGGGGTCAATTTAATAAAACCTTTACACCCCGTCCAGTAATTTACAAGTGTAACTATTGTTCTCAGACTCTAAAACAATGGCTACACTTGTAAATTACACGTGTAAAAATTTTATTAAATTGACCCAGGTTTCTTTCTCCAATTTACAGTTACGAGAGACACTTTGAAAACTTTCTGCTTTCCGAATTCAATGAGATAATAAGCATGTACAACATGATTTCTTCATAAGTATACCTTTTAGGCGCTTCATCTTTGTTAACAAAGACTGTATATCACTTTTTGTCATTCAATAACAGCTCTTACTGATTATAACCTGTTCTGCCTCTTGTGAAGTACACGGGGAATATCTCATCAAACTAGCGGAGGTGAGGCTTATAATTAGTGATAATCAACTTTGGTTTGCATGAACGTTTCCGAGCGGGTCATACGAGATTTAAGCCGGATTAAAGCAATTACTTTGCCAATCTAGACACCCCAAAAAAATTCAAAAACCCAATCAGAGTAGGAGGAAAACATTTCCAGCCTGCGAAAAGCGTTAATAAGCATCTGGGAAACAAAGTGTGAACAAGTCATAAATGGTTTCTGTCTTTTAATTGGACGAGGTCAGTCTTCTTGAGAATTGTTAACCAATTGCAAAGACTAAAGCAGTGTAAACTAACAAAAAAAGAATGGGACAAAACTTGAGATTAGGGATAGAGAGGTCAGTTTGTGTGCACAGTGTCTGCTTTAAAGATTCAAACTTTGTTTGGTTACTTAAGACTGCAGCTCTACAAATTCCCCAATTTTGTAATACCGCTATAGGCAGCAAAGTTAAATGTTATTTTTAGAGAAAAGAGTCTTACCTTACGCTTCATAGCTGTTGTAAACTAAGTATAATGCGTCGGAATTTGAACAGTCTAACTTCTTTGTGAAAACTAAAACTTGTTTATGAGCAACATACAATATTCACATAAACGGATTTATCCAGTGAGGGTGATCCAAATACCCTGCTTAATTTTTGTGAATTAAAGGCCTTTTCATAAGGTGAAGAAATGATAAGACCCGGGTAATAAGACCAGCATTTCCAGTTTTTCAGAGGCATATAGTAGTGGAGGAACTACCTTTGTTAAACGATTCAACTTAAAGGGTAATAAGTTACATCTACTTCAATTTCGACAGATATGCATCGAAACCTACACGCGCTCTCATCAGGTCGCTACCAAGACAGCGTGTCGAGCCACCTTAACACAAATGTTAAGCTCAGTATGTCACCGTCTACAAGACAGTCTGGCTAGTCACGTGGTAAGAAAAAGAAACTGATCACGCGCAGTCAAAAGCGTGCGTGAGCTCTGGGGTGCTTAACATTTGACAGAAAAATCCGGTTGGGGTGTCGAAAGCATAATAATGGTAAGCGATTTACCAGTTTACCGGAGAATTAACATATCCTTTACGGTCTGAATCCCAAAATGGGGCGAATTCGTGTTGCGTCCATCTGGAACCGAGAAGGAACCGAGAAATTGGTAAATGGTAAGCAACATTCCGTTTGGTTCGTACCAACAGGAATGAAAAACCTAGTCCTCTATTTTCGGTTGGAATTTCCGAAAAGTGACCTTACCACCTTCCATCCGGAATTTTCGAAGTTTTGTGTCAAATGGTAAGCACCCCTGGTGTCGAGAATGATATTAGAAATGAGTTTTGTTCTACAGACGCGTTAAGCAGCACTCTTGTCTCCAGTAGTGACAATTAATGATGCATTTGTTTAGCGTGGGCATCTTCTTTTGGGGCACTATAAACCTTTAAATATAATGTTGCCGTTGAGTGCCTGTCTCATGCGGTGCATCGTTGCCAATGTAAATGTTTATGTGGAAATTGGGCTTATAAATAAGCTAAGTGGACTGGGGAGACAGCCCAAGAAAAGACACTAAATACGTTTAATGTTATGTATGATTATTGTGGTTTTATTTCAGACATCTAAAAACTCCCCTTCAGAATCCAAGATCGTAAAACGTAAGTTTTATTCTGTTTTCGTTATCTTAGAACAACCTGTCATTCAAAACAGTGAATGTGACAAAAGTATTAGGATTTACCACGAAACCATGAGGTTTCATGAATAAAATCTTCTACCTCAGCTGTAGAGTTGTGGAGTTTCAAATCTATCTGAATGTAAATCTGAAAAAAATCATTTTCCTCAGGCGAGAAAAACGGACAAGGTGGCCGAATACATTTTGTCCTCGCCGACCGAGACCGATATAAATTTCTCCCAGACGGATCATTTAGTTCGTCTCTTGTCGTAATTCTTTCTGAATATGCCAACCAATCCCATAATATCAAAATTTTAATTTTTTGTGACGTCACACTTTTCTTCTCCCCTCCCTCTTCATGTATACAGACACAAACCATGCTTCAGATCAAGCCAAGCTGTTAAGTCAAGACGTGGTGTTGTTACTCAAACATTTCTGCTTCAGGCTTACCGCTGGACCAAGGTGGGTGGAAAATAAAATAATTAGTCACTTTAATGTAGCAAACACAGAGAAAGAATCTAAAAATATTTGATCCTAAAATGAGCTAAAAAAAATACAGTTGAGTTCACTTTACAGCGAAGAAGACTTCAATAAAAACTTATCAATATATACGAAATATTTTCAACTGATCAAACTTCAGAGACGAGAGTTAGTATACGTTCACATATTTTTTTTCTTTTTATGTCGCTGGAGAATGTTGTAGGGGTTGGGTTCTTTTGAGAAATAATAATTCAGTCTTCAACAAAAGTTATAATCATTCTTGGGTTTTTGTGGGATACTTTTATAAAATTTCATTTTACCAGCCAAGAAACAACTATGGCAAATAAAAATGCTAATTAGTTGAGGGAAATATGGTGTACAATAATCATAAGCAGTAGTTTCTTTTATATACAATATCTCAAAAAACAGAAAACCGACAAAATAATGCCAGTCAAATTCTATCCTCTCCTCAGCGAACATACATTGATACCGTTCAAGAGTTTTCACAAAAATCTGTTTCAAACTTAACATAGAAAGTCCTTCTAACAGACATTTTGTTAAATTTTATAAACCATCCAGTGTTTAACAAAGTTCTTTGTTAAGTAGAATTGAAGCGCCATGTGGCTTTACTTTAAAATGCGACGTGATCCGTGTTTTCTCCTTCTTTTCTATGGCTCAGCATGAACAAATAGGAGAAACACGATTCCCAAGCACGCAACTTTAAAAAAGATAAACATTCAAATCCGTCTCCAAAGTTTTTAGCTTTTACCACTGTCAGTGGTGAAAATTTGATCTTCGAAAACCCGTATCTTTGTGTTACAAATAAATCTTCCAGTCCACCTCCAAGTTTTCGGTTGGTTTGCTTCTAATTTTCCGTTTCGTGACCGGAGTTGTGTTTGCAACATCACATTGACTGGCATAGAAATTGTGGAGTATTTCTTCAGGCCATCTATCGAGTAAGAAATCACACTTGTGGAGTCCAACCGTTTTTTAATCAATTCAGTAAGGCTCTGACCTTCGTGGTCTTTCAAAGTCCGATTTAAGGCTAAATCACAGTCTGATATCATTTCTTCCAGCACTGTGCCAGTTCAAGGCAGTCAAGCCATTCCTCTCTATTTGGAAGCCATCTTGGTTATGCTTAGCAGCCTTTCTACAGCTCTGCAGCAGGAAAAAGAGTTCATTAATGTTATTTGGTAAGTTAGAAATCTTGCATTTTGATGTTGTTGTTTCGTTTTTTAAACTTTGGTAAAATGTGCATATTATTCTACCCTCCAGTGTCCAAATGTTATCCATAGTAAAAATGTTAACAAAATAAATTTTTGTTAGCAAGTGGATTTCTATTTGTCCAATTGCTTACCGTTACCTTTCGTCATGTGAATTGAAAAATGGGATCCTAAGCTTTTATGCCTTATTACGTTGTAAGTTTGTTGATTTATCACTGTAAAACTATTGAATACTGGTTGAATTTTAAACTTATACAACAGCTTTTGGTCTAATTGATTGATTGTTTCGAGTTTTCATTGCTACACTTTGGTTCGCATCCAAATCCCTCGTCCCTTTGTTTGTAATTTGTCGGAGATCAAACCCGTACTCTCCCGCAAGCAAATGTATTTCTAGATGTGATATGTCTATATTGCCTGTTTTCATTGGCAAGATCAGATGATTTGAAATTCTTGCGATGTAACTTAGAAAATTCAAACTCGTCCCCAGGGCTTTCCCTCACTATTAAGGAGTTTTTAAGGGAAAAGTCCTGGGGAGGAGGCTGCAACGTTTTTCTGATAACATCGCGATTTAATTAAACAATCAGATCAATACTAGAGTTTAATACCATTAACGGACGTGATACAACTAACTTTGACTCCGAAGATGACTTCCACACAGGTTGTTTAAACGTCCGTCACTGTCAACAATTTGCCCCATGTGAGGTTATTCGGGCTCTGGAATCTGGCAAATTTTTGCTCGGGGAATCCGTAATCCCGGGCTTTTAAATCAGGAATGCAGCTCATGGAATCCAAGTTCCAGTGACAACGAATCCGGAATCAAGTACCTGGAATCCGGAATCCACAGCTCGGATTCCGGAATCCAAGCCTGTCTCGATTACCTTACATAAGATGAAATTTAACAACAGTCCTATTCACGTCTAAACTCACCCGGACGATCATACTCCACCTACTTGTGAAATGCCTCCAGAGTTCAAACCTTTCACTCTTTCTCTTGATCAGGCAACTTCTGTGTCCAGCTCTTATCCAGTTACTTGGTAGCCCCTTGACAGACCTAAACAAACGTCCTAAAGCCAACACTCAGTTCCAAGAGGAAATCAATCGAGGCGGCCGGGGAATAGGGAACTTTGCGAAGTCGACGGCAATTGTGGGCCCAATTCCAAGGACCATATATAACATAGCCACAGAGCTCCTGCGTCTGGTGGGTCCTTTAGCCGCCATGAGACCTGTTTTAGAATCGCTGTTTCATCGCATTATTCTCTATCCACCGGCACAGCAGAGGACAGAGGCACTGAGAGCTTTGAAAGAGGTATGGTGAACTTTTTCATCCGAAAGGAATACACAACAAATAATACCCTTTTATTTGGAAGGTTTTCGTCTACGGTCACCCTTATCTGTGGAAAAAAAGGATTGGAGAAAAATTATATTAACATTATATAAGAGACAAGCGATATATGCCTAGAATATCTGAGTCATATGTACGTGTCAGATCGAAACACGAAAAGACCACGAGCTCAAATAAAACTACCGCGTCCACAACATGGGTTTAAACTAATCACAGATTGGGTAAATTATCATGAAGGCACGAGAATCTGTTCTCTTGTATCATTTTCTCTTATTTCAGTACCTGAAGGAGATCATGTGCCCCATAAAGAATAGCCTTCACAGCATGGGTGCAAGCGTGATTATGAATATATTGAATAAAATGCCGGGCACTAAGATCGGTTTTCGTGCTTGATGTAAAAACAACCTTGTTTCATAGCATGAGTCTATTCACGATACTAGACATACATGATACTATATCATGAGGCGCGGGAAATTTGTTCCATGGTATCTCATTTCTCGTATCATTTTCCTTTGTTCATTATCAGTTTATGAGTCAATAGCCCCGTTTGTTTGAATACCTTTGACTAGTTTATCCTGGAATGTATGTCGCCAGGCCCAGAGAAGGGTCGTTACTGATTAGATCTTTGATTCGTCCCTAGTTTCTTTCAAGTCCTCAGCGGCTTTTGGATGCAGCAGGGCCCACAATTATCGACAAGGATAATCCACCGTCACCCGACTCCCCGACCGAGCAGAAAAAAACGGAACTTGATTTACTGCGACTGTAAGTACAATAAATAGATATAAACACATAATGGTTGTTTATCTAACGTATCTCTGCTTGAATTGGAATCTGAAATGCTGGTATTTTGGAGGGAGAAAAACCGGAATCTCAGACAAAATCTCTAAAAGCAGGGTCAAGAGTTACCAATAGCCTCCACTCAAATATGAACGCTCGGTCTAAGAATCGAACCTACATCACAGAACTTAGAAGTGATCGCCAGCGTATTGGCCGGAGCACCAACCGAATTTCCTTGATAGGGAAATGAAGAATAGCTATAATAACTTAGTAGACTCCACAATCCTTATCTTGTGATTAATACCGATTTTTAGGAGATTTCAATCACTGTTAGACTTTCTGAACTGTTATTAGTGTTGAGTCAATCTAAAAACAATTTCCTGACGCTTCACGCGATTTTCCGTCTTTTTAAATCGCTAAGATGTGTCTTCGCATTAATTGCAGTCCAAAATAATGGTCAGGTTTTGTTATTTTTCAGTCAAGATTATATTTAGGCGTAGAAACTGTTTCCTGTCGTCTGGTGCTATGGATGGACATGGATTAAACTTGAAAAAGTGGGGCTTAAATTTTCAAAGTTTTAATGCTATGCCCGCAAAAGTCAGCACAAAAGGGCTTCATGATGAAATTTTTTATGAAACCCTTCTTGACTTCATAACTATACAACAGCATTTTTCTATATGGGTAAAGACGTCAGCACAGAATTGACTAAAACCAACAAGAACTTCGTGTCCTGCTCTCTTTAAGTGTTCTGTTTTAAGCTGTTACTACTATTACTTGCTTCTAGCTTGATGGACGGCATTGTTGAATCAGCCCGCTGCGCTGACAGTACTGTGGTCAGCTGCAGTGTAGCATGCGTAGTAGCTCTATTAGGATCGTTGGAAGATTTAAGTCAAGGGCGAGGACTTAGTGACGAACATATCGAGTTCCTGAGCAAAATGAAGGAGACTGATAACTGGGAAATACTCAAAGAACAGTACAACAACGCTGCGTCAGCCAGGGAAACGGGCATTTCAGCCAATGGAAGAGTCAATGGTGCAGAAAGTATTTATAGACAGGGAGATCGAATCTCTCCAGACGGAGATATCGAGTCACTGACGGAACGCTTTGAGAAGAATGGAGGGGTTTGGGACAATATCGCTGATGGTGAAGTTAAGAATGACGGTAAGGATTTAACCTTACTGTCGTACTCCTAATATGAAGTCATTTGGAGGTTGCATTCTTTTAAGTTTAAAAACTGTGGGCTGCAAACGAATAAACTTTCAAGCGTCTTGTGCTTCTTGTTAGGATTTTTGACTTGGCATTAGTTGTATCTGTAGAAAATTGCACCCTGACAACCTTTAGACAATGTTATTGTCCCGAGAAGGAAGGTTGCACTCAAGGGAAGTTTTGGCATAAGGTGCCGCCGAGCCCTTCAATCCCTAACCCTGATCAAGACAAAAATTCGTCTATTTTGCTGACTGTTTAAGACAGAGACCTGATTTCATGAACCTGATTATTTCGTTTCGCACACAAAATTAAGCATTTTTTTACTGACTAACATCATGGAATTATACTTTTTTTCGAAAAAACGATGTTGGTACCACGCATCTAGACCGCCTTTCGCCAAGCTGCATACACTTCAAGTGGTAGAGGAAATCCATGGGTAATGCTTATCGGTATGTTTTTCAGTTTCAGATGATGATCCTGAGATAAAACCTCTCATCCCAAAGAGCGTTCACTTCGCCTCTGAGGATGAAATCACCATGTTTGAAGCCCACGAGAACGAAAATATCAAAACTTCACGCACGGCCATTCCCGCACGTTCAGGAATTCCTCGCAAGAGCAACCTTCCGAGAAAAGTTGGGCCCAACTACTCCCAGGCTAACACGAGGACAACGGTAAAACGCTCCTCGTCATTTGACAGTAAGACGCGTCAAAAGCCTACCATACAGAAACGTACTATGAGTGGTGGACCTCGCCAGCGGGACCGCGCAGGCTCGGATGGCGGCGATATGTCAGAACGAAGGCCGTATTTCCTTTCTTGTATGGACAAAGACAATTTAAAAACGGTGAACAAGTTTGGCCTTCGCCGAACTCAGTCTGATAATGATATTTCAGCGAAAAAGAGTTCTCCGATTCTGGAGCACTTCCAGTTGAGAAGGTCAAATTCCTGGTCAGCTTTGGTTTACCATAGTGAAGTTACCACTGATGAGGCTGGCAAAAGAAGAAACACTCCACCAAAGAGATCTAACAGAGGTGGAATTCCACGACCCCGCGCACAGGCTGCGGGTGATTCTACCCTGGTGTCAAAACCAGGTTTGAGGAAATGGCCAAGTGATGGGAAAAGTTTTGATCCCATTAACAGAAAATTGTCTGATCAACCCCTTTCAATGCAGCGCAAGTACGTTGAATCTAAAGCAAATAAGATCGAAGCCAGAGAAAAGGCTTTGAGGGAGGAAAAAGATCGATCGCCCACGAAAGGTTCCCGACCTACACTTCGGAGAACTCGATCGGCTTCCGAATACGATCGTAAACAAAATAATGTCAATAGTGATAAGCCGAAGGGAATTCTGCTTAAAAGCCATAGTTTAGACGAGCCTGAAAGTTCTAGAAGCACACAAATATCACCAAGGAAAAATACATCTCAAGGGGTGAAAATAAATGGCGTTTATGTAAATAAGGAAAAGGAAAATGTTGCGGCAAAACCGTCGCTGGACAAAAAGAAAGCAAAGGAGGTGAAGAAAAATGTTGAGGAGAATGAGAAAGAAGGCGCAAGAAACTTTGCTCGCTGTCTACTCGGCATTCTACCATCGGTGTTGAGTCTTTCTGATCCAGTTGCTGTTGACGAGGCGCTGCAGCAGTTTGCATCTGACGTCTGTGAGGCGGTCACGTGCATGGCACTAAAGCGCAAGAATGTGCCAAACTTCGGTACGCTTCGGGGACGGTCGGATTTGGTCGATGAAAAGTCAGGTGAAGGAGCGATGTCGGATCCAAGCTTCCCCATCCTCAATGCAGATGGTGTTTACGTAACTGTTTACGCGACTATGACATTGAATTTGAAATTACTCAAATCTGGCTATTATCGAAAGAAAGCAGTAGAACCTGCAATGAAACAGGTAATTTACTATAATTTAATTACGCTCAGCACAAATATTTGCCCCATTTACCGCCGGTGCGTAGTCCCACACATCCCGTTAAAGACGGACCCTAGTCACCTGGGCCTTTTCGGAAAGCAGTGTGGGTTCTTTTACATCCTAATTGAATGTGAAGGAGATAAGCCAACGATTTAGCGACAAGTCCCACGGACGCAGTATCCGAACAGGCGACTTTCGAGTTCCAAAAACCCTCACTTTTAAAATGAGGCCAAGTGCACAACCTTTCTTGTGAAAACAAGTTTTATTTGCATGAGAATGAAAAATCATTTTCATATCAAAGGCTGAGCTCTTAACCTCGTTTTGATACAGAGGCCCGGGGGAACTCAGAAATGGCCAACTGAGAAAGTTTGGCGAGGTCTTTGTAATTCCTTAAAAACCCCGTTTGTCTTTTATGCAAAACCCGCACCTCCTGCTCTGCCAGCCAACGTTGGGACCCATAGCAGAGTTCTGAATAACTCTTTCGCAGGTGGCGGGGCATGATGTGGTGAGAAAAGTGATTGAAACGAGAACCGCTTGAAAATTCTTCAACCCGCAGGAGGTAGTCAAAAGGAAAAACACCTAAGGCAACACTCCTAAACTCATCTGGAAACAACAAAAAACAGCTTTCAATATTTGCCAAGTAAAACTGCCACAGTTCCCAAAACTCTGTCTAGGGGTCTTACAGCTCCTTTCTGGTGTATTGGATTAAAATCCAGTAAAGGTTTTAAATCGACTTACAGGACATAACTGACCCCCCACATACAACGTCACCCTCTGTCGAGAGAGATTATTGGTCTTTTGTTCCCTGATTTTTGTGCCTGCAAAATCAAAACTTCCAGCGCAAATGCGCAACACAAAGGCAAAGATTAGGCATTTTAGAAATGAAAGAAATTTTTTGTCCAACTCTTTGTTCCCGAAACCTTTTGAGACTGGCATCCAGCTATCGTTTATCATTGTATTTGTTTTTCTTTAAAGGAGGAATTCATCGATAACATACTCAACAGCGGAGTTCCCATCGGTCTATCCTCAGTGTGGCTGGGTGAACTATATCGTCTGGTAACAACTTATAACATTCTAGGAAAAGCAGGTTACACTTTGGACTCACCTGATACCAACCGCGCCCTTATCAATACATTAAACGACAACATGCTCTCTGAAGATGATGACAGTCCGTTCCTGCACCACAAGAATCCCAGCACGTTACCGCCGGCTAAAAGAGAGGGGATGAAGTTTGCTAGACGTGTGCTCTTAGCTACATGGGATTCTGTGTTAGAGATTCTATCAGCGCCCTTAGAGACCTCCACTACAGGTTAGGTGATTACTTGTACAAGCGTAAGAGAACACGTTGTTTCCAAGGGATGGAGCTTTTTGTGCCTAGGGCATTCAAGTTTTTTGCCTTAGAGTCAAACTAAAACTCTTTACAGAATCCGGAATCTGCTAAAATTTTGCTTGTGGAATCCAGGATACAGCTGAAAAAATCAAGTACCCACTATCGATTGGAATCCAGAATCCAAGTTCCACTGACAAAGACTAGAATCCAGCAGCTGGAGTCCACTACCGAAGGCTGTCTTCAATTTCCTTACATGGGGCGAACAAAATCCAGAAAAAGATAATTGCTGTCTCGTTATGGTTAACAATCAGCATTTCTTAAATTGAAATCGAGTAAAGATATTTAAGATTCGATTGCAGAATGAAGTGGCTTCAGACCAAGTTTTCCATACCTTACGAAAAAAGGAGATTAGGTTTCTCATATACGCTAAACAGAAAAGCAGAGATAAGCATCTGAAAGTGATCATCTCTCTTTGTTTTTACGTTCAAGGTAAACGTGAATAAAAGTGCAAAGTTTTCGGATCGATGATCGCCGACAGCAAACGACAAATAGCAATTAATTTTGGTGGTCAGATCAAGAAGCGTAATTTTTAATCTCATCAACGTCGTAGAGTATCTTACACGTACTTTAGAACACTCTTTTATTTCACGCCAGGGAGTACAAATGGTGTTGGTGTAATGCTTGGTGGAGAATCCAAGAGAGATCACAATCGTGAGCGCGACACGATCTGTCTCAGCCTGGACGGCCTGCGTCGTGCAGCACGGCTGTGCTGCACGTTAGGAATTCAAACGCGCTGTGAACTGGTCCTTGCCCAATTAGCCAATGCTTCCTGTGGAATAGAGGGCCTCGATGGAAAACGAGGACGATCATCTTTTTCAGCAGGACACATAAAACTACACGCTGCGCATGTCTTGAGTATGGATGGACTGCTAGCCGTTGGGGTAGAACTTGGCAGCCACGCCCCAAAATGCTGGAAACACGTGTTCAGGTAGCTTTTACTTTTACCTCTCCACTTTTCTCTCTCATCAATCTTGAATGAACTGACACGCTATCGCTTGACATTTAATGGAGATTAGGTCTTAGTTTTTGCAAAACGTGGGCAGTGATTTATAGTCACAAATGTATTGGCCTCCTGGCAAGTTTAGCAGCGTTACTGCTTTGAATGTTTTGTTGAAAATTGTGATTAGTTTTACCAGAAGTAAGCAGTGGCGGACCTTTACTGCCCGTTACTTTTATATCCAACCAAATAAAAGAACTTCAACGTTTGATTATCTTACGGACTGTAATGAAAAGACTTAGTTACAGAGTAACTTAATTTTATATCTTTCAGATGCTGCACGTTCATATCACAGTTGGAACGCGTTAATTTTAGTAATGGCGTAGGAGAACAGACTTCGCTTGGTGGAATACCGAACTCTGTCCGAATAAATAACGACATATCTTCGCCCTTTTCTGAATCTTCAAGTATTTCTGACTACCTTTCCGGTGACCTTTCACCTAATGGCATGATCCAACAGAATTCCGGAGGTGGCCTGGACAACACGCCATCGAACAACGGACTGTTGACTCCAGCCGATGCCTCTCGGGCAATTTACGCTCTTTCAGCCGCGGTGGATCGACTTTTCGAACACGCCGCTAACACGCTTCACCTTGAGGGCCTATTGTCTTTTCTCGAAGCCTTGGTTTTTGCTTCAAAGAGTCAGCTCTATGGTTCCGTTGATAAAGGTACAAATTCTCCTGGCGGAGTTTCTGGTAACAACCAATCACCATCTTACAGCACAACCCTGCATCTGTATCGACTGGCCGATGTGATACTCAGAAGCGCCCGCAATACTAGTAGACCGCTGTTGCATCTCATGAGAGCATGGGCAGTAATATCACCACATTTTGTCGAGGTTAGTGGAAGTGATAAAACTTTCTGCTTGCGTAGGACGTTTTTGAGAGGCAGTTGACCCCATAACGTGACGCAAAGCTTTGTTGTTTAATTCGTTTTTCAAAACATATCCCATGCTGCCCTTCCAGAGAAGCGTGAATGGTACTTGCATTGCATTCCTTCCTAATACCGAATGTTGACTGCCTTGCTAGTCACCACCACATTAAAATGTGATTTTTTTAAAACTTTTTCTTCGTTATTACATTTGTTATGAACTCTCAATAACTCGAACTCCCGATAACTCAAACTTTTTTCGATTTCTTGAAGGTTCAAGTGATCGGGAGTCGACTTTATGATGGGCAACAAATACTTAAAGGGCCTTTCTAACGTTTAGCCGTCTTCAAAACGGAAAAAAAATTATCCTTTCCGTCCCCACCTCCTCCAAGCAATGTTGAGCTACTAGGTGAACGCTTTTTCAGAAAGGAAAAATAACCGAACCTTGAATGGAGGGAAGAAGGGGTCGGTGTGCAGAGTGTTGCGTTCTCCAAAGTACCCTATTTAATGACAGTCTCTTCAATTTTGTCACGGATTCTAGCCAGTGCACAATTTTCATTTAAAGGTTTGTGATTGAACGTCATGGCAATATTTCAAGACCACCCTCCCCCATGTGTTTTCTGACTAGAAAAAAAAACCTTTAAATGCACAGGTGCACAACTCATATATAAAACTCACACGTTCATTCTTGCAGGAAGTATTATGTCGGCATTACGTCAAGGGGCTGATTTATCAGAGGCAAATACTTAGGCTAACAAAATTAGCCTTGATTCCTCAAGACCAGGGATGCACTGAAAGCAATTGACAGCCTGCTATAAGGCGAACAGTGTATTAAATCACTTAGTAAAAGTATAGTGCAACTACCTTTTCTCATTACCGTGGTGGTGACGCTTGTCCGCTTTATGACCCCAAAAGCTAGGCCAGGTTTCACCCCTTGTAGCCAATCCGGAGTGGTGAAGGGTTAGGAGATACACTAAGAAAACCCCCTGGCCAACTATTCTTGGGATTCGGCGTGTTACCTCTCATTATAAAAAATTCAGTTTATTATTCAAACAGAAAACGTTACACGTTTCCCTCTTGAAGATAAAGAATTGATAGTGATGATGAGGATGATGATGATGATGATGATGATGATTGTCTACACAGGCTGCCTCTCACAGCGACAGACACATCTCCAAGCTAGCCATCACGTCCCTTCAAGACATAATGACAGAGCTTCTTAGCAACCGCAGCGAACTCCCTCACTTTTGGTTCCACGAGGCGTTGTTTAAGCCCCTAGATGGAATCATGTCGTCACCCAAATGTACTGAAGAGGAGCAAGAACAGGTAAGGAGTGAAAACGTTTTTGTGTCGTTTTATACTCTTTTATCAAGAATCGAATGCGTTGTCTAAAACCTCTATAGGCGAATCTCTGTCTACTATTTTGTTCTTTATTAGTATAAACTTGTCATTTCCCGTTAAGCTTTGAAGGACATAGCACCGTTATCTCCCTCTGAAACGTTCTGACTAATTTAAAAAAATGCTGTAAAATATTTGATGTTAAATGCTCGAAATTTTTCAAAGAATGTATGAACCCTTTGAAAATTTTACCACCCGAAAATTTTTATTCTTTGATGACTGATATCTGCTAAAGTAATAAATGCAATGAACTAAATATTGCGAAGGATACTTAGTTTACCGAGCTCTTTCAGTCATTGAACTCAATCCGGCTTATTTAGCGTTTTTAGTTACTTTTCTATGAAGTACTTAATATGTTAGTAAAGCTGAAGCTGAAATAAGGAAAGTATAAGAATTGACCGATTTTCTCTCCTGTCAGATATTAACAACGATTTCCCAGCTTGTGGAGACACATCTAAGTAGCATCAAGTCTGGTTGGAGACCAATATTTTCTGCCCTGCGTTTTATGCCAATCTATCCCAGCAAGTTTACAGACGCCCTAGAGCCGTATCGCAGACCTCAAAGAGTCCTCGACATTCTCTCAGCGTTTCTTAACAACAAAAACTCGTCGGTTTTCGCAGCCGCAGCTTCGGAGTGCATCCAAACGCTGCTCAAGTTTGTTCGTGGCTCGGATTGTGATCAAAACTACCAAGGAAGTCGAAGTGATTCTGACAACAATGAAAGTAGTGACGCGGGAACAGTCAACGACTTGTGTCTACCGGCCCTGCAGGATCTTTTGACCATGTCAAAAAAACTGGGTTCTATCTATATAATGCCTTCAAGTCTGGTATTTCACGGTTCTCATAATGTTCGTTTGGTGGAACATGTACCTGAATATCCAGGAACTCCTAGCCCAACTTCAAGTTCCATTAAGCCAAATGAATCAACCAATCAGAAACCAAAATCCCAAACACCCACTATGACGTCCGCGGCTTCTATCACGTCAATAGATGACACCGGGGTACTTCGAGTATGGTTCCTTTTGCTAGACGGGCTCACAAAAGTCGTTGCGCAATGCCCTTGCAAATATCAGCCCCAAACCTTAGAGGTCTTGTTTGATATTCTGCGGTCTATTACAACCGTTCCAGGCCCTCACTTTTCAATCTATGTCATTACTAATCTACTGCTACCTATGTTGGAATCGTGGGTGGAAAGAGGTAATAGAGATGGAAGCTACTGGGAGAGTACAGCAGGAAACTTCAAACACTCTTGCGGACTTGTCACAGAGCTTGTAGTCGAAGAACTGGGCCAGTTTTTAAGCGTTCAAGGTAGACTTCTTTAATTGAATTTCGTATACAGAAAGCGATTTGTCTGAGTGTTAAATTAACTAGGGTGAATATTAACATTCAGGGGAGGGTAGACTCGAAAAGGACTATTGGTGACTATGAAATCCTGTGCCGAAGCTATAGGGGAGCAACAATGGCGTAGTGGTGAGAGCACTCGACTCCCACCAGACTGACCCGGGTTCAAATACCGGCGTCGATCCCACATGTGGGTTGAGTTTGTTGTTGGTTCTGTCCCTTGCTCCAAGAGGTTTTTCTCCGGGTACTTCGGTTTTCCCCTCCTCAAAAACCAACATTTCCAAATTCCAATTCGATCTGGAACGTACGGACACGTTTAAACGTGTTCTCAAGAACTCTTAAGTGTTTCGTGGGTAAACAGACTACAATTTTTATTCTAACATTGGCTGATGATGAATTTCACGCAGGTTGTCCCAATGTCATCTTTCACTATAACAATCGCTCATCCCATTCAGGACTACACTCACCCGGACGTAAAAATTCAACCTACCTACGGTATTACTCTTGGGTACCAAACCATTAGCAGTGTAAACACGAACTTTTTTGTCTCTATCTTTTACATAGCACAGTTATCATGTCATCTGTTTCAACCATCGCCGCAAGTATTTTCCAGTGCGCTAAAATGCCTTCCGAGGCTTTCAGCGTCTTTCCATCTGTGGTCTTAGTACCAGTTTACCAGGGGTGTAAACACTCCCTTTTTCTATCTCCAATTTCCGTCCCTTGCTTTTTAAGGTGCAGCTGAATGTGTTCCTGAGATGATGAAACAAACTCTTGATCTTCTGTTGGAATGTGTATCTCAGCCTGTAGAGGGAATAGCCCGTCTTGGATGTTCCTGTTTAAGGTAAATATTAAGCCTTTCGTTCACTGGTTCAGCTTCTCTACCATTCTCTAGCAGTCTGAGCTACAGGGTACTCGAAGGATCTAAGGCCAATAAACCGAAATTGAACCGAAGCAGCGGTGGGTTGCGCAAGAATGCGTACGTCGATAATGTTTATCACAGCTATTTGTGTTCTACTTCTGATTAAGCTACAATGAACCAGGAACAAACGCGCTTAGGGCTATTAAACTACGTTCATATTACAAGGATTCCTGCATTCCGCTGGGCTTGTAGGTATGTCGACAGGTGGCATATGATGTTTTTATTAAAGAATCATAAAGGGGCGGTTCCTTTAAGCATTGTTATGTGTCTTGCATCTGTCTTATGTTATCCCATGTCAAATAAGGAATGCTTTTAATATGAATAACTTTTTTATGAGACAGCTCCTATTTTTATGTCTTGATATTTTGCTCCGCAATGATAGGAAGAGCCAACGACATTTTTTTTTTCAATTTCACCTTCCCATAAGCGGAACAACATTATGTTATGCAGCATTTGATTTGGTGCTCCAACAATAGATTTTTTGCTCCCCTCCTTTATTTACTTGAGGGGAGCCTTTTACTTTTGTTCAAGGCTAAAGCGGTTTACGAGAGAGTTTTCCCGCCAGGAATGGCTAAGTACACTCACAACCTCACAACCCGACCATTTTTATTCCTCTATCTAGACATCTTTTACTCTCGGGAGGACCTGTATTCACAGAGGACCTGTGGCTCATTGTTAGCGAAGGCCTCAGGGAGGCAGTGCACACAACGCTCTCAAATCTGAGGGACCTAGTGGCGTGCTTCCAGCCAGGATCTTTCAGTGTACACGGAGATGAGGGCATGACAGTCAGAGTTGTTGCTAGGCGTGATGTCTTAACGACCGATATAATACGACTACAGCAAGTGGCAGAGCAGGTAGTTGTCACTCTTCGCGAGCATTAGTCTCTGTACATCTTAAAACCCAATTCGTCCATTCAAATCCTGAGAACAAAAGAAATACATCATAACTACTTTAGTTAAAGTGCGACTTTTAACAATAAAGAGCACCATTTATTGGAAATATATTCCACTTTCCTCAATCAGGTCTTCCTGCTAGACAGTCAAGTAAACAATCCTTCTACCCTTCAACAAGAAACGCATGGGCCCGCAAACGAAGAAGACGACCAGCGGTCTTATGTTTTTGTTTTGTCGTCAGTGGAGAACAAAGAAAAGCCAGAGAATGCAGAAAGGTATTTAGCTTTACTGATGACAGAACGCGTCGACTTGCTTGATACGTTAACCTTAATTCCAGTCATTTTTCGCGCAACTGTAGTATTTTCTCGCCGTGTTGTAAGTGAGACACTGATGACTGATTGAAACCAAGAAGCTATCAATTAAGGCCTCCACTGACCAAAACATTAAACTATCTTTATTGTATAATATGGATCATAGATAAATGAAAGTGCGGCAAATCACCTCCATTCTATTCAAATGATTGCGATAACTCCAATTGTCCGGATAATCCCGCGTTTCAGAAGCACTTCCACACCACGATGGCATACGGAGGGGACTGAGTAAAAGTTTCTGTATAGTGGGTCTATTCAAGTCAAGACTAACGTAGTCAGAAAGAGCACACCAGGCTTAACAAAATCACCAAGCTTTGTATTTTTCAAGCTGATATTGAACAAGACAAAGGCCGTCAAAAAAGTGCAATTTAACTCTGAAATGTATGGATTGAAAGACACGTTGTCCAGACGACTATATATATGTCACGGTAAACTTTGGAGTTTTTGAGTGGTGTATCTTATTAAGCAGTTCGTAGTTGTATTATCTGTTAGGTTGAGTGACACAAGTTGTAAACGGCTTGTTTTAGATTGTACCACCGACTTTATTTACCAAAGGGTTTCATTACAAATTAATGGTTCTCTACTTGTTTCTAGGGTTCCTCTCCGTGGTTTACTTGTCAGTCTGCTATCCCACCAGCTCCTGCTACAGACCCTTGGTTCCATTCTCCTTGACAACGCGGAAAGCGTCATGGCTCATAGTTCGATGCTAAGCAGCCCGTCCTCGTCGTTAGAGAGCTTTAGTAATGAAGCAACTGAGGCGAGTCTCCCAGGCCTCTTATCGTATCTCTCACCCGCTAACCTTTCAGTGTTGTTTGATTGCCTGATGGAATCACACAGTGTCGCGTATGAGTTCAATGCTCGACCCGGTCTGCGTTCATTAATACAGAAGCTTGCTAAACTGGACGCACCGGCCAATCTCTTGCGGCAATCTACCACTGCCTTTACTTGTTACCTTCACACGCTGTTTCAGATTTGTAGACATAGTGGAGAACACTTTTCCAGCTCGCATATAAAGCGTATTTTGACTGGAGATCGGGTTACTAACAACCAGGAAAAAGAAGACGATGTAGCCAAAGAAGACGCGTCAGGATCACCCGCGCGACATAACGATCTGCTGAAAGGTGATCGTAACATGGATTGGATTGTGCGGCGATTGAACGAAGCTTGTGATCAGCTTAGCAGCGTTTATGTTCGTCTATACAACCAGTACAAAAGTGACGCGCAAGGCAGCATGACCTTTGAAGTTGAGCTTGAAAGAACCATGTCTTTGTCATCCACCTCGTCACCAGCTCGCGATTCGTCAAGCTGGAGCCACAACAACGGTTATGCGGACGAACCGTTGAGTTCTCCACTCTCGAAAACTTCCCCTACCTGGAGGAAAATCCCATCTTCGGAAAAATTCCCGCGTGATATGAAATCTAAGCACATTCAACAGCTTCTCGAGGACGACATGCGCATGGTTGAGCTTGAAAGACAATTCTTGAGGCGCAAGGAGGACGAACTGCTGCAAGTTAACATATGGACCAATTTAGTTATCACAATGCTTGAACTTCTCTTAAATTTACCAACACTACAATTCAAGGCAGTCTTGCCAGCGGTCTTCCCCGCAGTAACGTGCTTGATATCTACCGGCGCCGACACCAAAGTCAAGCAGTTAGTTTGCGAAGTGGTGCGGCGAGTAGGGTCTATATATGGCATTTTATAACGTCTTTTGTCATTCAGAATGAGACTCGATGAGGAGACAAAAATCTCTTTGAAAAACAAAGGATATTTTCATTTGGGATCGCCTGATGATTGATAAATTGGTTTAACCTAGAAAGTTCGAAATCATAAGGGGCGGTGGCACCCAGCTAGAGAACTTCTTTAAAATTAAACGGAATTGTTTGCTGGACGGAGAATTATACAAATAGCTGACTAGACTTACTTAAATTCACCATCATGTAGAACATAAAAACAGTTTCATAGGTGTCTTTAATGCAGAAACAAGTAATTGGATTGAAGCTTGAGATTTAAGTCGGGCCCACGTTTTCAAGTTTATTTGGGTTCAGAGAGGAAAAATCGGCCAAAAACCATTCATTATGGTTTCCTCAGTGAGGGAACTGATATCTCTCTGCTTTTCCTAGTCGCCCTGCCTGCCGTGATGAGTGTACTTTCACAATTCCACTGAAGTATGAGTTCAGATATGTTACATTGTAGTTTACTGCCGCAGAAAATTTGCAGAGCATTAGCTCCCGCTACACTGGACATTTATGGGACCGTGTAAATAATCAATGTGAATTAGGATTGAATACTAATGATTGCTACTAAAACTACCGATTGTTTCTCAAACGACCCCAAAAACCCTCGCCCGGAAACCTTTTGCCCGATAGCCATGAAATATCTAGAGAGTGATTGTTCAACAAAATTTTTGTCCTTTGTTGAGGTGACTGGCAATATAGTCAACTTTAGCCAAGGGTTGAGAGAATTTTGAATAAACTTTTCTCGTCTGCAGACATGTACCTAATTTATATGTGTAGTCACAACCAACCAACACAGTCTAAAACAAAGTAAACCCAACTGCAAGTTTAAATTTTAATCCCGATTCATTACAAGTACTAGTTTGCGCTAACGGACCTCGAGCCTGGCAAAAGTTTGAAGGGAAGCAGATGGGTGGAGTAAGAAGCGCAACTACAACAAAGGGCGCGCGTGGAAGGAGAGAGAGGTTTCATGTCTTTCTTCCTTGTGCGCCAGTTGGCTGGAAGTCCAAGGAACGAACTGGTTTCAAAGAGATATCATAACACTCAAAGAGGTGTTTACCGCGTATTTACCACTCAGCGGTATTGGAACGCATTAGTGGTTATAACTATCAAACGGGTACTTTTTTGTTTATTACTTGACTGTAAAAAAAAATGGTGGAATATGGAGAGGCAAGATGGCCGCGCGGAGATACGAAAGCTTCTGAAAAATATTTCAGGAGTGAGCGCAGAGAGCAATTTTTCAACACAAGAAGAGAAATTCCGTATCTCCAAGCGGCCATGTAATGCTATGCTTATTATAAAAACGACAATGAAATACCAAACCATTTCACATTAATATATATTTTTGCTACGAAAGGCGCGATTTATTTTTGTAGCCGTAGCCGTGTGAAGTGTGAGGATAGCCTGCGTAGCAAGCGTTTCCGCCCAAACTTGAAGAGAGCCAAAAAGTTGCCGCTAGAGTAAAGATGGTATACGTGTATGGTATTTCATTGGATTTTGAAAAATAAATTGAAATTACGTTTGGATTTGGTCCGAAAATTTGAACCGGGACTGCCGAGAAACAAGTCCACCTAGTCTGGTCTTAGGGGCGGGATTTTAACTCGGGGCCTGTGCTCTCCAGGTGGCCAGGCACGGCAGAGGCCTCTTTGCATTGCGGAGGTGTTGAGGAGAGGAATAAAAGAAAGTGCGGTAGGGGGGCGGGGACGATGGAAAGGGGAAAGAGAGGAAGCGTAATTACTTGTTCCTCAACATTTCTGAAATATCCTTCCACTTCCGCTACGTACGTTTAATTTATTGGGATGCATTATCATCAGGTCTTACTGCTGTGCGTGGCTTCCAATTCAAAAAAATAGGTATCAGGATTATAAACTACCTTGTATCAGAACTCAGGTAGAACTGTCGAGCACCTTTGTTTGTAACTATGAAGTGAGCTCGGGTGGTGGTTCTGCGAGAAATTGGCACTTACCACAGGGAGGGGCGAACTACCATGATGTCCATGCCTACGAACCGATCTGTACACCAAAAAGCAAAATATAATAATAAAGAAAGATACCACCCATCCAGAAAAGAAAGAAGAAAAGAAATTTTTACAGAGTTGTAAATTTATACACGGGTAGTATTTTTCTCGAAAATTTTATTTTGCATTGATAAATTTCGCGATACAATCAGGTGACGCTGGTCAGCGGATACCCTTTTTGACAGCTGTCAATTGACCACAACATGGATGTCCACTATCAAGTTTTAACTTGTTTAAAGACACCTAGCTAGTAATGCCCGGTCATTGCAAGAAAAAGCCAATCAGAGCGAGCGTACTATTGTGACCATATAATAAAAACTTATAATCGGTGTCACCATTTAAAGTTTTGTATTGCCTTTACGAACAGAACTCAGCACATATTTCATTTTGTCTAATTTTGTTCTTTTACTATTCTGCTGGGAAAATTAAAGCATAAAAACTGACAATCGGTGTCACCTTTGAAGTATTCTTTTGTTTTTTTAATTTCTTTATCAATAAGTGTATAACAAATATACCCTGTTCCAAAAAAAATCATCGTCTCAAATACTCGAGTAGATTTTCAGATATAAAAACGTATTTAAAAGGTTAAATGTTAATGTTTTTAAATACGAAACGATTTTATATTTTAAAGATTTTCTAGCAAATTTAGGTCTATAACAACCATTATTTTAAAATCTTCTTTAGCATAGCTCGTATTACTTAAGCTTTTATCAGAGATGTTCAATTTTAAATATTCTTTAGTGACTTCAATAGACCTTCCAGCTGTATGTTTTGCTTTTCCATTTCAGACCACGTGATGAGATCCCAGCGAACTGTTTCTTTTAAATGTCGTTCTGTGCAAGTACATTCACGTGCAAATGTATGAATAATTTATGAAAAGAAGAGAGAACATCGCAGACGTACCGTGGTGTGAGGCTAAGCTAGAAAGGCCTGTAGACCTTCTAGTATAGCCTGTATATTTTTCTTATTTGCTTTCAACTTGCCAAACCTTGCTCAATCGTGAGCCACACGAAACAGGCCACTTTTGATATATTAAAATTAAGCATGATAGCGAGTCTTAGAGGACACAAACAAAGAAAATGAATAATTATAGTTATACATGATTTGTAGCGATATTTGGCATAAATATCAAGAGTTATATTTTCGAAACTTTTATACGTAATTTCACGAGCCGTTAGGTGAGGTAAATTTTAGACAGCTTTGAAATATCACGAGTGGTGTTTATGCCAAATATCACTTACAAATCATGCTATCAATTCGTTTCATTGTCTAGTTTTGTGTCCTCTGAAACTCGTTATCATAATGAATTTTAATATACCGAAAGTGGCCGATTGATGATGCTCTGCTTTCACCATGCATTCTTCATTCTTCCGCTGGAAGGAACCGATGATGCCCCACAGTTCATCCTGCGGCACTTTTCACTCCAGTCTTCCCCGCCTCGGTCAAAGCTGCTGTGCCTTTGAGTGTTCCAGCTGTGACCAGTGAGAGACATACATTGAGTCCCCAGTAAGCCCACTCCTGTTTGTGGTCAAATTCAATTTTCTCTCCACGTATCTTTTGTTCAACCGCCGTTCCTGCGTACGGAATAATCCCACCAGCGCTTGCGGCCCCTTTAGTGGCACCAACACCTATTTCCATACCGAGCGTTTTCCATGAGATGCCATTTATTTCACCTTGTGCATCTTTATCAACTACTGTGTTAACACCAGAAGCTACGCCATTTAAAGCCCCGGATACTGGATTGGATATCCCTAGGGTAAAGGCCTGTGCCACTATTCCACCGACCTGTGAAACTGCACTCAACACGGTGGCTCCAAACTTTTCTCCATTGTCTCCAGCTTTTTTGATTAAAGCAACCGCTATATCTGTCCTACCAACCAAGGCAGTGGCTCCTGATGCAACCGTTAACCCAACCATTTTCCCTCCAGTTGCAAGGAAACTGTCGTTTGTCCAGTTCTTCCATCTCTGAGCCGCTGCATCCGTATCGCCCATAATAGCATCGCCCAAACTTTGGAATGATCTAACAATTTCGTCCAACAAAGGGATTTTAAACATTTTCACAACCTAAATATGAATTTAAAGAGAAGAATTAAAATATAGCGACACACGATAAATTTCAAGCGAGAAAGCAGATGATTGAAGCCGTAATATGATACATCGTTAATACGGACAATTTCCACCGCCCCCACAATTTTCGTATTAACGGAGTTTGACTGTACTTAGAGAACTGGACTTATTTCTCAATAAGTAGCAGCACGTCAACTACTGAGCGCAAATCACTTCTTGAAATTAAAAAAAGAAATAGATGGTGTGATGTTACATTTTGCGGCTGACGGCCAAGAATGTGATAAATCAAGGTACCGCCGGATCAAATACACTCTTCTCTTTTTATAATAATACATTTCATAGCCGAGCGCACGCAGCGGAGCACCATGTAGCACCATTTGGTTAACTGTTTGGTAGTCAGGTGACCGTGCGTCCTCCCGACCGCCGCCCGTCTGTCTGCATCACAGGGACGCCAATGTAAAATAACTCAATCAGCAGTGGCGGCAGTGAAAAAATAAAAGCGAACAGGAACACAAGCATCGGCAAAATTTTTGATGAGCACATACGACAATTCCCCAATAACGTTTTAGTCGTGCAAAACAAAAACAAGAAATGCACAAAAAAGTGTGCTGCACGTGCAAATTTTGTCGTCGCCGTTTAGCATTACACGATTTTATTTTTTTTTAAGTACATTAACCAGGGCTTCGCGTTTAGCCCTGGATAAATCTATATATTAAGAATACCGCGAATTTCAAGAACATTTTAAGGGTTAACTCCAAGGCTAAGATTTGGAAAAAACATATTGATTTTCTCCTTAAAAAATTTGCAAATAAAATACAAATTTTCTTAAAACCAAACCGTATAGAATTCTTCCACGCTGAAGACGGCAAACTATGAAAAATCAGAAAATAAAACGATTAAAAGGCCAGCAATAGTCAAATATTCGATGATACTGTCAGTTCGGTGAAACTCTTAAGGTTCTTGGCTAAGTTTGGAGGTTAAAATATAAGCTGAGGTAAAGGTCCCTATTTTACATCGGTAACTAGTAACAGTAATTAACTGACAAACCTGAGGCCAACAGTGGGCTTTTTTTTACCCCCTGTCTCCATTAGTGCTTCGTTTTACGGGTATTTAGAGCTATTTAAGGCTACATAAAGCTACGCGGAAAGGTAAGAAGTGGAAAGAAGGATTTGAATTTGCACGTGGGATCGAACCCGGAACCTCTGGGAGAGAAGGCCGCGTACTAACCAACTGCGCGAAACCTTGCTCCTTAAACATGTAGACTTGTATTATTGAGACAGTTATGTTATTCGTATTTTATGAAAATACCTTTTCCTGCGTGCATAAACGGAATCAAACCAGTAATGAATTTCACGGCTTTAGGCAATGCCGCCATCCATTCTCGAACTATCATTCAAGGTATGACCTACAAACGACTATTATTTCATGCATGCCTAAAAACGGGAAGTTTTTAGAGAACCTGCTCTGCCATGTCATGAATCGACGTCAAGGTCCGTCAAAATGCTTTCTTTTTGCTAACGGAACTCTTAAAGTATTTAGTATTTAAATTTGCGTTCGTATGCCACATGTGAGAAGAAAACCTTCCGGTACTCTCATGGCTATGGATTTATCAGGGCGTTGAAGTAAAACTGAATCATGACTCGTGAAAACACAAAAAATGTCTGTGTCCTCCTCTTCTCCCAAACTGGGTACGTGTCTTGCTTTATCTCTTAACAACAAGAAGTAAAATTCTCCCTGACCGTAGTCAAAATGAATACAAAATATAGATTAAATAATAATAATATATTACTATTACTGTTGAAACAGGAACAAGTAAATAAGGTCGAAAAAAGTTGACGTTTTGACATCGTAACATCTTTACGATATAAAAAGTAATTTAATTTAGATAGTGTTATTGTAAAACAAAATCACGGGAAAGAATTAAGTGCCTTTATTGCGAAAAAACCGTTCCATCCCATATTGCTTTGTGGCATGGTTTCTACGGCCCCATCAATGTCCGCATTAACGGGTATTAAACGGGGTTTGACTGCCTTGATATTTAAGCCTTTCCAGATTCTGCTCCGAAAAAGCTAAAAAGTTGCTAAGAAATATGCCAAAAAGTTGCTCAAAAGTTGCTCGAATATTTTTTAAGACAGCATGTCTAATTTTAATAACAATTGCTTTGTAATCAACATTAAGGTCCAACTAAGTAACTAGTTACAACAAATTAGGCAACCTTTAGTTGAATCTAAGTGGCTACAAAAAGTTAGACAGTAAGTGTAACAATCTGGTTTTCAAATCTACAATAGCTAACTGTTGTCTTCGTGCGTTTTTTGAGCCCCCGCCCCCACGAGAAAGGAAAAGCCCCGGGAACTAGGACCCAATTCTTGTAATTAATTACCACGTCCACATGATACCCATTCAAAGGGTGAAAATATGAGTTTTACTAGAAAGATGTTTAGAATTTTAACCAAGAGAATTTTAACTTGTTTATTTTAAAAAGGGGGGGTTATTCAGCATTTTGGTTCAAAATAGTCCAAAAGTTACCAAAAAAGTGCTAGTTTTCCGAAAAGTTGCTAGAAGTTGCCCTCTGACAAAACGTTGCTCGAAATCCTAAAAGTTGCTGTAAAGTTGCCGAGCAGAATCTGGAAAGGCCTATTGATATCCCCTCTACACACCGCCCCCCCCCCCCCCCCCCCCCCCCCCCACCACTCACCTCAGCCTCTGCTCCTGGGTTTTCACAGTTTGAGAGCCCGCAATAAGATAAAAGCCGCTGACTATGGCGGATGTCGGGGAGCAGTTCTGTTTGTCCTTGGATTTTGCGTCTGAAAAGCTTGGGCCGGATGTTCTTTGGTTCAATCCACCAGTTAAGTATGAACTGCGCAGTAATGGTTCTTCAGGTGTAAAGATTTTCTCGGTAAGTTGTACAGAGTTGGAGGTGCAGGTGTTGTGACAGGTATTCGACGGCCGTACGGAATCGAATAATTTTAAAACAATTAATGAATGAGGCTGAGTATCTTATGAACAATTATGGAGATCGAGGAGGGCGTTATCCGTCGAGGCCGTAGGCCGAGGCGGATTACCTCCGAGATCTCCATTATTCTTTATATGATACGAAAGCCGAATTCAATAATTGTTTCATTATATTCATTCAAAATAATTCCTAGTTTAAAAACATGGCTAAAACTTACTCCATCGATGTTAAGTTTATCTTCGATAGTGCACGTTTAGGGTTGTTAAGCTCCGCAAATATTCTCCAAATAGCAGATGTCGCCCATCGAGTTGTCTTCTTGCTGTTCTTGCCATGTTTTTGCCATTATTTCACCTAGTTCTTACTCTTGAAACGAGTGAAATGTCCGCCATTTTTATTTTCACGGCCAAAACAACTCAATCCCTCAATCCCCATTGTCTTCTCAGTTAACGGTGCATTAACCTGCAAGAAAGCTGCACTTTTGACGTCATCAGTTGATTAATTGCAAAATTCTTCCAAATTTGGTCATCAGTAGCTGGTTGTGGTGAATTATGAGTGTGCTTTTAGCCAATCAGAATCGGGGAAATATTTTGAATGAATAATAAGAATAAATAATGGCGATATAGAAAGCATTTATTTAGCCACTCACTACACCCTAACATCTCCAGGTCTAGAAGAAAATACAGTGTTAAGGTGCATGTAGTATTCCAGATGTCCAGAAATCCCGGTAAAAGAGATTTATATGAATGTCAACATTTCTCGGTATTCTTATTCCAGAATACGGTCAATCGAATGTGCCCTTTGTATGAGCTTTTTCGAACTCGATCGATCGTTCTTCAAATGAAATGCACATGTGAAATAACTTTGCGGCACATCTCCAAGACCTCCCTTTGTTCTCACTCAAAAAAAGAAACGTGTTACAGTTGAACCTCTCCTTACGGACGACTCTATAATACGGACACCTCTCTATTACGGACAGTTCGTTTGGTCCCAGAAATGCCAAAAATTCTACATTCCCTACCTCTACAATACGGACACCTCTGTAAAGCGGACACTTGGTTCTGTCCCTCTGGTGTCCGTATTAAAGAGGTTTGACTGTACTCTAAAATGCTACAATTTAATGTATCTGCATAGGAGACATAAATGTGAACAAACGACTGAAACAAACGAATCTTTTGTTACAAGAACTAATGCGCCTCTGGTTGGCGCATTAGCAGCAATAGGTGATGTCAACAGGAGTGACGCCATAGGTTCAACTCCTATGGAGAGAACAAGTCGTTATGTCACATTGCCATATTAGCAAAATTTCAGGATGACAACAAACTGAAAACGTCACTAAAAAAGTGAATTTGCACTGTTTCAGACTTCATCTATCTTATTTAATTTCATTAATTGTCAAATCTTGGCGAAAGTTTCTGGAGTTGAATCCGAAAGGACCGTATATTAGAAAAAGAAAAAGAAAATTGTTGTCTTGTGTTCACCTACTTCATGAAGTGGGTGTGTGAAAATTAGGAAGTTTCATGTCCCAGTCAGGCAGTAAGGCTAAGAAATGTGCAAATGCACATTTCAAGTTTGTTGTTTTGCTAATATAAATGTATTGCTTTAATTTTTGCCTTTCTCGCTGTCACCACCATCGTCATTGCTTAAGCTCCCTATTGTTGTGATCCAGAGATTTTGCTATCATGGTACCATGACTTTTACACTTCTCCTCTCTATTAAGAGTACTCAGATTTTTGTTCTGAGCTGCCTGTGTCGCTGAATGAGAAATCATCTTTGTCATTTATTCACCAGGCTTAAAATTCACCGTCAAATTACTGTATTATCATCTTTGTCAGATATCTATGTACAGAATTATAGACACATGTATTATGAACGTGAAAAGGTTTTGAGTGCCCTTACTGCAACTGCTTGTAAATTCTTTCGGTTTATTTATTTATTATTATTATATTATTATTATTATCATTATTATTATTATTGTTGTTATTATAGTTATTGTCATTATAATTATTATCAGCTGTATTTTTTTTTGTAGAAAGCACAAACAGACTTCTGGAAGAGGTAAAATTTCAGTACCAAGGTATTAATGTAGAGGGTGGTTGAGATAATTATAGATATGCACTAGTCACTAGAAAACTGGCTTCAATGGATCAAAAACTCTTAAGATGTCTTTGTTATTTGTATGTAGGCTTATGAAGAAGCACTGATCGGGCTTTCCATTTTATATATTTTGATTAGAACTTACTACAAACCTGAAATTATTAAGGACGATGGACATCTACTCCATCTTGTTGTCAAGCAGACAAACTCCATCATAGAGACGTCATTTGAACTCACAGCTCTTAACCAGTTTGACCAGGTAATGTCAGATCTGTATATACTCAAGTTCGGGTTTACAGTCTCTTGAATATAAATGATATGAAAGACAACAAATTCCTAGTGGTTCAATAACCAGTTATTGGGAAGATGTAATTATAATTACATGTTTTTTGTTCTGTTTTATTTTATTTTTTATTTATTATTTATTTATTTATTTATACGCTGGGCAGATCTGGTTTAGCAAAGGTCAGTATAGAATGAGGCTAATTTAAACACAGTTTGTTACAAAGTAGCACACTGTCTAATAAATTATTCGTAGACATGAACTAATGAAGAGATCCCTCACAGAAAATTTATCTGCAATTGCGGTTGGATTGTGGAGAAATTTTTAAAAGGGATTGAATGAATCAATAAAATTACTAACAGCAATATGAAATGAAAGAGAGTAAAAATTAAAGTTGTTTGATAATTTTTCAGCAAAATTATGTTAAAACAATTACATTGATCTGCAAAAATTTTATCTTTTAGGCAGGAATAATGATCAGAGTTGATGGTGATCACTGGATCAAGACAGTTAGTACAATTATGTATATTACATCAGTCAAACCTGTATATATAGTCACCCCCTTCTACCCACACTAAAAACCTGCATCTATGAACCTAGTTAGATGGCGAGCAGTCCCTCAGGATGGTTGTGCAAGCGAGGAAATCAAGTGAAGCGAACACACAAAAATTCCTGCCAAGCCTCGACTTGACTGACTGAAAAGGGACTTCTCGCAGTCTGGAACCGAGTGATTTAAGAACCTGCTGGCAGTAATTTGCCTATTAAATACCCCAAAATATAAGAACCTGTTTAGCCAAGCAAGATCAAGCAGGTTCTTATATATGGGTAGCAGTAAAATATTATTGTAAACATTTTTAACCAAGGAGTTTGACTTTGACATGGGAAATTTATACTACAAGAAAATTCTTGTTAACTTAAATAATTTTTATTTTATTAACTTGACCAATTATTTTTTTAGTAAATTGTATAACAATTGCTACAGAGGAAATAGTACCTAGTATACATTCTGTAATCAGCTTTGTCAGGCTAATCATAAAATTACATTTGTGAATAAATAATGTATACTGGTATTATTTATTTTAAAGAGCAAACCCAAGTTTATCTATTTTTCTGGTAATCGACAATTATTTTTCCTTCACAGAAGTTAATAACTTACTAAGAACCTACTAAGCCTAAATTGTACGCTGGGTGCTATGGGCTTTTCATGCAGGGTTTCTGGTTTTGGGTCTTTAGCTGAAGACATGTCAACCTGCAGCTGACAAAGCTCCCTGCAACATGCTAGAAAAAACCTCTGGTACCTTCCCAAAGTACCTAAATTGTGAATAACTTCCCCAAAATACAAGAAACTTTTTCACCAGAATGTAGGTTCTTACACTTGGGTTTTTATGGTACTACACGGAGCTCTCACCGAAGTTACAGAGATCTTCTCCCCGGATTAATGTTCAGTAACAGCAGCTACTGACATTCGTTCTGACTTTGTTTTAAATCTTGGACACATTTATTATTAGTTCAATAATTTTTTGTATATGTTTTTGTGGTGAATGTTATCAGGGTTTGGAGTATGTTGATGGAGAGTGTTCCATGAGTTGTGTCGTAACAAACAAGTGGAGTGACTGGTCAACCCAGACATGGAAGAGCAATAAACTGGCACTAAGAGTACACAAGATACAAGATGATTATGTGGTACAAACACCAACTTTTTGAAGTTTTTCCCTTCATCCTTTGATAAGCAGTTTACAGTAAATATGTTTCTTTAAATGAGCACCTATGCTCTTATTTGCACCCTCCTTCCCTCTCAACTTCTTTTTTTTTCTTTGTTTTCTTTTTATGATCATTATTCTTTAATAGCATCAACATAGGAGAAACAATTATTCTTCTTCAGTAAGACAATAAAATTAATATGTTTCAGTTTTCTCTATAATTATATTACCTCAATCAGGAAAGACCTCAATTTTGTATCCTGCGCTTTCTAAGCACTAATTGCCCTCGAACATTTAAAAATTTGTTATTGCCAAAGCAAATAAGTGGGTAGAAAGTAGCTGCAAATAGAATTTTCCAGATTGAGATAATGTTATTACATAATTAAATACCTTCTTGGCTTCGACAAGCAAACTCTCGCAGAATTAGTTTTCTCCATCCCCTTTTGAGAACTTCAAGTTGATACTTGTGCAGTGCAAATTTATAGATTATTAAGGAAATAGGTATATAACATTTATTATAAATCCTCTCTTAATCCTCCCTCTGTAAAAAGTCCTCCCCTTTCAAGGATGGAAAGTTAGTAAGCTTCACAAGGGAATTAATAAACACAGACTTTTTGGTTAATAACGACAGAAACACTTCATGTGGACTGATGGTTTATTCACATACTGGAAGTTCAGATTTGTTTTCTATCTTCCACTGTATGACCTCCAACTTCATATACCCACTGATACTTCATGAATATACTTTGCATTGTTGTTTTTCATGAAGAACTGATACCATCGTTCACTAAAATTAAGTAAGCCACCCCTCTCAAATATCCCCCCCCCCCATCAAATGCCCTTGAAATACATAAGCTTAATAGAGGATTAATTTACAGTAGATGTACATGTATCCACTGGTTTTTGTATTACTTCAATTAAAATTATTGACATAACGGTATTGTTTATTCTAATCTTACCCTTCAGATTGAGAGGAAGTTACCCAGTGAAAGCTCTGAAGATTGGAAATTTGTTCGTATTGCTCATTTGGATTCAGGTGGAAATGCAGTAAAGATTGGGCTATATTGTTGTTCACCCACTGAAGAGGGAATGAGTGTAGTGTTTGACAAACTGAGTATTCGGCCTTCAGATGGAACATATAATCACACATACTGAGCTTTGATTTTCATGATTGTGGCATCAGGGCTGTCACTAAAATTTCAAGTTGTAGGGTACCATAAACTGCTGCTTATAAACCCTGGGCTTTACAACTTTGTAGAGGTTTTAAGGAGGCTTATAAACAGAGGCGCTTATACCCAAGAGGGGTTATAACCGGAACGGAAAAAGCACTTTGAAACGAGCTGTGGCAGTGCTTATCAAAATATGTTTTGCATTTATTGGTTTTTAATTAAGCTTCAAAAAACATCACAATAAATCGAAATCAGAGGGGGTTTTGTAGCTACAGGAGGGTTTACAATGTATGCCTGGGGGTTTATAATAATGGATGTATGCTTTTGTTTACAAGTAGTTTGGCTGATAACTGGCAGTGGGGTGGGAGGGCTTTTAAATGGCAGTTTATGGTATAAGCAATTAGTAGGCATGGAATTGAACAACTAGGAAGTTCTTTTGGTTTTATTTTTCCTTCATCCCCTATTAAAGTAGCCTAGGGAGTTGGGGGGTGGGTCATGCTCAGAGTAGCCCAGGCGAAATGCCCAGCCCCTTGCACTTAGTGACAGCTCTGGTGCATTCAAGCAGAAGCATGACCTAAAGTCAGGGTTCAAAACTGCCTTATTTAGTTTCTTTTCTGAGCAGTATATAAACAATTTATTATCATACAGAAGGCTGCAGATTCAACTCCTTATTCTCCCTTTACGTTTGTACAAAATATCGGCAGCTGGTCTGTCTAGCTTGGATAATTATTTTGGTAATGTTTCTTATTATTATATTATGTTCGTGTTGCCCATTATATTTGCATTTGGAAGTTTTTAAACAAGACAATCTTTATTAGTCAATATAGCTAGAACAGGATCTTGCCTCCAAAAATGAGCCCATCAAATTAAAAATTCAAAGATTCAAAGGCAAAAATAGCCTCCTACAAAGTCCTGTATGAATTTGTGCCCCTCAAGAATCTCTTTTTTACAATGCAAACCCTGGGGCTATTTTCCAAACTTTACTGTTCTGTTTACAATGTTGTTGAGCCAAATGACACTTAAACTTATTGAAGGAACACAGTCAGCTTTAGGACTGTGCCAATTTAATATACAATGAGGGTATATTTCATACACCCTCATTATATTTTAGAAAACAATGCATTTCACAGAGGCTCCAACCCTCACAGAAGAATTTCTGTCTTTTCAATCCCAGAGAACTCATTACAAAATATTTATTCATAGACTTTATAGTTGATCTTGATGTTCTACATTATGTTTTGTACTTGTTTTAGTGAACTGAATAAAACCTTTGGCTGGCACAATCTGTTTTGCAAATACCATCTCTTTGTATTTTCAGTCATAAAAAAATTTTAATTCCTTATTCAGTTGAAAAAAAAGCATGACAATTACGATGATTCAGTTTGATAAGGGAGGTAAGAATATGCGTTCTTGTTTTGCCTTAGCCTTATATGCTTCAATTTTGAAAAAAAAAAAAATGCTTTTTGTCCTTTTGCCAAAACCCGGGGGGTCAGGTACTCCATATGCATGTAATGGGCCACATGGGGTGGCCCCTCCCAAAAGGGATACCTTTTTCATTCTCCAGGTATACGAAAGGGTAGTATAGGGATTTCACAAGTTGAAGTCTTTGACAGGGAAATGAAATCTGTCATTTTGGTCTGCAAAAAGTCCCAAAAGGGTTAACAGATGAATTTAATGCCTGTGAAAAAGTCTAGAATACGTCATGATACGTTCTGGTTTTGTAACTCATTCATATTTAGAAGAAAGTGCTTTTACAGCGGTTAAAAGGTATGCAAAGTTCTGAACCAGGTATGTAAAAATTTGTCAATAGAAGGATGAAAGGGGTACCTTTTCTGTCAAAAATGATAAAAAAAAGGGTAGGGCGGTGCCTCGCTGTATAAAACTTTGTAGAGCGGGGGGGGGGGGGGGTAGGAGGGCTAAAACAAACAAGATGAAAAATCGAACCTAACCTGACTATTTATTTCCTTTTCTATAAAAACCGAAAACCAAACGTGCATTAAGAAACCACAAATGTTAGGGACTCAGAAAGCGGAAAGATCTAAACGACAGTTATTAAATCTTTTCCTAGCCTGCGAGGGCATCCGGTTTTTTTGGCTCTAGTTTCACCCGCCAAGAGGAAGGAAAGAAGAAGCGACGACCGGAAATACATCTGCGGTTCGCAGGCTAATCTTTTATTTCACCCTCACTCTACCACCCACACGATCGCACGACTGGCACCGGTTGGCACAGAAGCGATAGCCGGAAGTAGGTCGACGTTCGCATACTTTGCAGTCAACAGCGCGAGATGGCGACCGATTGAATATTTACTATTAGTCGAATCTTCAAGGAATTGCTAGGAGCCGAAAGACCTAAAGACCTCTGATCGAACGGTAAGTGAAAGCGGCGAAATTTTCGCACACAACGCTGGCGACACAATGTAAAGACTGTGAACACGTCGACCGACAGTCTTCACAAACACCCGATGGAGTGCATTTCAAGTCTTTCGAATTGGCCAAAATTTGGCTGGGCAATATACAACAACAGACTTTTGTTTAATTCGCTAACTTGTCTCTCACCAATAACGACACTTACTTTCGATTTTCCAAAAAAACAGCTGCGACTTTGAGCTGGTCGATAAAAGCGGAAGTTTCATTGAAAGTGCAACAACCTCAAATTACAATGCGGAAGTCACTTTTACTTTATCAACTCACTGATAAACTTCACTATCCGATGGATTATAGCTTTAAATTTTCTTCTCTTGTCATTAAATCGCATCAAGAAAAGTACGTGACAAAGGCTTTTATTTGGTGCGTGCAGTATTCATTCGTCATCACGTTTGACAGCGCTTTTAATTTTAAAGACATATATGTTTGGTTAATAAATATTCAAAATTCCAGGGCCAACAGTATGGCTGGCTACACCACCGACAACAGCCTTCTGAACTAAGGTGTGTAGCAGGCAGAAACAAGACAAGATCAGAACGAGCGGCAACCTCGTTCTCAGTGTAACTCCTACTCGTCCCTCGTCTCGCTCCCGAGGGACGAGTACGAGTGGGAAAGAAGATGACGATACCGCTTGTCTTCTTTAGTGGCAACGCGTGGTTATTAGTGAGTGTCTGCTCGCTTTTTGGCTGGTGGATTTCGATCGTTTTGTTGGCGAGACCGTGTACATTTCGTTCGGATCACGTGATCCCAGGGCCTCAAGCAGTTCTGTCATACCACAGGTTACCCACAAAATCTGTGTGTGTAGGCGATATTATTTTACAGTAAATGTCCTGGATTTACCGTTTGCCTCACCCATAGCGATATATTGCTAAATATGTACACCTACTTCAGTAAAGGTTACTTTGGGAATCATGCTTTGGTCTTTGAAAGCCATTGTTTAGTGGTCACCTAAGCAAAGCTTTACATTGTATTCTGTGTTTCAATGAACAAATCCCCAAGCAAACTTTATTGAAATAGGTGTATATCAAATCAATGTTAAATAAACGTTGAATTACCTTACCTGTGTATATACTTTTTGAGCGATTTTGAGGGAGTTTGAGTTTGCTTGAGTGACCACCAAACAATGGCTTTCAAAGACCAAAGCATGATTCCTAAAGCAACCTTTATTGAAGTCTGTGTACATACTTAGCGATATATCGCTATTGGTGAGGCAAACGGTAAATCGAGCACATTTACTGTAAAATAACATCGGTTACACAGACACAGATTGTATGGGCGCCCTGTGATCATACCCCGCCTTGCGGACACCTCGTTAATAAGGACACTTTCTATGGCCCCCTCAGTGTCCGTATTAACTGGGTTTGATGGTACTGTTGCAAGTTACCGTCGCTGACCAGGAGCCCATAACCCGGAGTGAGCAACTTCCCTGCGCTCGTGTCACGGCGTTTTCACGGACCAGTTTATTTTTAGAACGTTTTTAGCTCGAAGTTTGAATATCTTTTAAATTCCACAAACCAGTCAGCAAAACTTACTGACCTAAAAATGATATTTTTTGCCTTTTAAAAACGTTTAGTTTTCCTTTGTGATATCTTGTACTTCGAATGCGCTCATAAACATAGTGGAGATTCTATTTTCGCGGGAAAAAGTGCCTTAAAATGTTGCTCGCTCCGGGTTATAGGCTCCTGCGCTGACGTAATACAAGGACCTTTACCTTTTCTTTTTAAGGGTTGCTTAATGAGTTTTGGATATGAGGGGTCATATCATGACTCCAATTTTCCTTTCTCCGATTCTTGAATACATTTTTTGCGACCTTTTAAAAGTAGCTGAACAAATTAACAACTCATCCTAACGCTTTTATGGGTTTGTTCCCACAGGGTTGACCAACACTTGTAGATGGAAGGCAAACAAACTGTTCATTTCTGCAAAACTTATGCCAGGCCCAACTGGCCGTACGAAGATTGGACGTGCATAGAGAGGGAAGTTGATGTGGAGGACGACAGGCTCTCTGGTACAAAATTTGATGAGCCAATGCCTGTGTCGGACATTTCGACCCTCACTTCTGATGATCTTGCAGCTCGTGATAGTACAACGTGCGCAGCAGAAATAAACGTGTTACAGAAAACAGAATCTGTAGATAAAAATGACCAAGACACCCAAGATACTTCAACCGAAGCTCTAGAAAGCTATGAGCCTGATCACTGGTCATATGATCTCTCTGAACCCCTTGACGACGACTTACCACTTTGTCAACTACTTCGGTTCATGGAGCCAGAGTTAAATTACAGTGGAGCCCAGAGTAAAAAGATATTTGAGGAGATAAACGAGATGATGAGAAAGACGATTGAAAAGTTAGAATCTTGCTATCTTGTTTTCGAAAAGTGCTCCCTTATTCCAGTGGGTAGCGTCAACGAAAATACGAAAATTGGCAGGGCAGATGAATTTGACTATGCCGTTGTTCTTCCATACTTCGAAAGCTTCGAGAAACTTTTCCCAATAATTTTCAAGAAAGACGAGTCCCTGTTGTATGACGACCCGGCTTATGTTGCCCTCGTAGATGATATTGCCTGGGGTGGTGATACTAAGCACATCAAAGAAAACTTTCAGGCAGCAATGAAGCAAGTCTGGTCCCTTTACATGGAGGATTTTCTCCCCGAAGGCTGGAAACTATCCGAATCAACCTGCCATGGAGACGAACAAAGCATCGCGAGGACAGTCCATCTTGTTCGTTCATCGGATGGATTTATTGTCAACATCGACATCTGCTTTTGGATACCTATTCACAAATCAGTCCTTGAAGAGAAGGGCTTTGACGTTGAGCAAAGGGACTTTCTCTTGAAAAATTGCCTTGACGGAGAGATGAAGTTATTCGCCTTGCTGCCTAAGGACCGTGGCATAGAGTATGCTTTGAACTCGCCGCGCTTTGCTATGTCACTAAAGGAAAGGGAAGAGTTAAACAAGTATGGACCGCTGAATGGACGCATCCAGTGCTACAAGTTTGCCAAATGCATTGCAAAGTTTTTTGTTCCTTACATTCAGAAAAAAGAGAACTGCTCTTTTTGTTTAGACGGCCTTGTCTCTTCGTTTGCTCTTAAAAACATAGTTCTCTACATGGCAAATAATTACCCAGATGATAAGATGTGGGCTGAAGATCAACTTGGAAACAGAGTTTCTGAAGTGTTTGCCATTCTCAATTTCTGTATTAAAGTTAATTGCAGTCAAGTATCGGCCTTTTTAACACCCTACTCTATACCACTGCGCACGCATTCAACCAAATATGATTCTGGAAAAGGCGTGCTTATAGAGAAGGGTGCTGACGGGCTTTACTATGAGGAAGATCACTGTCTCCTTCCAGAAGTAGAGAGATTTGAGTCGTTATTCACAAAAGACCTAATTTCCAAGAAGATTTTGCAGAATTACTTCAGTTTTCTTCACGAATATAACTGGTGTGTACCCGAGGTATTTGATCGCTTGACCGAGATGTTGACGGGTTTGACCGAGAAAGATGATGAGGAAAGGAGAGAATATGCAGAGAATCCTGGTTGTCTGTGTTTCCAAACGTTTACAGCCGAAGACTTTGCACAATAAAGTATTGCTGTGAAAGCTAATTACCTTAATAATAACAGCTTTTTTAACAAATAACTTCCAATTTGGCCTTGTAATTAAGTCGTTATTCACGCAGAGAAAACAGGGGGGACTTCAGTTCGCTACTGGGCAGGTTGTAATGTCCAGTACGGATTGACGAAACTTTTATTTTGCTAACTTTAATTTTGAATAGAATAAGAATAATTCTAGAATAATTAACCATTTGAGAACTGTGTATTTGTATTTGGTTTTGTAATCTCCAAGGCGATTCTTTCTTATCTGTGCATAGATTTTGACAGACCGCACGAGCAGAGTTCTGGGTCGTAGGACAACCTCGAAAACAAACCAAGGAAGAAAGGCAAAGGGCGCTTTCCATTCAACCAAAACTTTCGAAAATTTAAAAACAGAGGCAAATGCTATAGAAATTTCCCGAAAACTTTTGAATTTCTGAAATGTGAACCATTCAACCGAAAATTCTAGAAATTCTGGGAGCAAAAATGAATAGAAAGAAAACTTCCGGGAAAAAAAATTTCGAAATTTGGGTATATACCTCGCGAGGTTGTCCTCTTTTTTGGAAATTTTGGAAAATGTTGTTCCATTTGCTACTAGAAGTTGCCGAAAATTCAAAGCGGACATTTGGTTGAATGGAAAGAGCCCAAAGTCTTTGTACGCATTAGCCTACGCAGCATGGAGGCTTTGGTCAAGCGCGCAAACAAGCCAAGGTTGGGACATTGAAAATGCGAGGAGATTGGCTTCCCCGCTCGTTCGCGCGCTTTTGCGGCTTCGCCGCTCAATAGTGCGGGCGACAAAACCGCCATGATACGCAGGCTATGTACGCAATTGCACGCAATGAACCGCACTAATGTCCGGGGGGAGCTCAGGCCAATGTAAAAGGCCAGGGCTGGTGTGCTCATCGGTTGTTTCAAATTAAAGCCAAGGGGAGACATGGGTAGTGCGCAAGCTTTACTTGAACCGAAAATAAATACTGTCTTAAAGAAGACAACCAGAGAACGCTGCCAGTAAATTTAGTTTGATAAATCTCTGATGCCAAAATCTGCAGTTTACAAGAGACGGCAAGCATCCACTACCTCTCTTCGACCTCTCTCTTTCCCCCAGCACTAACTCAGATTTAAAAGAAATATAAATCTGTAAAATGTTCAATAAAGCCGAAGCGATTCTAAAAAAATGTTCGTTGAGTTAGGTGTAGTGTTTTGTGTGTAGGGTCTCTTTAATTCTGGAAGATCAATCTCGTACCTCTAGCCGAAAATTGAAGGAATAAAGTATCTCTGGGACGAGAATTTACCCGACGATTTTACCAAAATCCTTGGCTGACAATTTTGATCGTCGGCAGAGAAAGGTATTTTTCACGACGTTTCCTACAACAGCTCTTTATGGGTTGCATAAGAAAGCTTGACAATATCAACAAACTGTATAATAACATTTGGCCCGTTTCTGAACGAGATATCATTCTTCAAACCTTCTTTATTTTTCTCTTCTGTTATCCCTGTACACTTCTTAAATCGGGTTGAAACTGATTACTCCCGTGTCCCCCACTTCGCGCCCCGTGTCCCCATCCCCGCCCGTTTCCTACCCACAGAGACAATACATGTAGCGTACACGAAGAGATTATTGATACCACGTGCAAAATATGGCGGCCTTCTGGACTTGATACATGTCTTGATGCAGCCTTATAGTAATAGGTGACAAAGCGAGTTTCAAATCACAGACAACGATATGAAGAAAAGGAAAGGAGAAGTGGTTGGCCAGGAGGGAAACATTTTGAAAAAGGCAAAGGTTTCTGACCTCGCGGAGGCGGAGGAAAACAACACCAACAAACACAGTCAATTGGTACGCACTGTGAAAGTTTTATTACAGAAAGAGCAAACAAGGTTGTCTGGTATGTTGAAATTCTATATTCAATTCATATCTTGTTGTTTCGAGATACATGTATGGGATTGGAATTGCAATTTTGTGTCTCAGATGATTTGTAAAAGTTGTATCCCGGCTGTTCAAAAGTTAGATAGCCCAATCCATTGGATAACTCATTATCCAGCGGACGCATGAGTGTTAGGGAAACCAATTACGCTATCCACAAGATAGAGATTTTTCCAGTGGATAGCGTTATCTCCCTTTCAAACAACTCAGGGCCCAGGTTACGTAGTATAGTTACAGTAAGTAATGTCCTTGTGGCATTTATTTTTGGTAATATTATTTTTATTGAGGTTTGTCCAAGCTACGCGATGCGCTTAAAGAGTCACAAAACAAGGAGAGACTGGCAAGCATTGTCCAGGAAGGTGGAGAATTTCATGAGGTTTTCAAGATTTTAGAAGGAGGCCGACACAGTCTTTCCCAGCTTGAGGTACTAAACTGCTATAATGCTCAGGGTTGTCACTAAGATTTCAAGTAGCCGGGTAAACACAACAAGTAGGCGGGGAATCAAACGGCTAGAGATTTCTTTTGGTTCTATTTTTCTTCTATTTTCCAATAAAAGTAGCCGGGGGCCACTCTCTTAGTAGCCCGGGAAAATCCCCGGCCTGCGGCTCTTAATGACAACCCTGAATGCTACTGCAAACTGAAAGTCAAAATTGATTCTCTAAAGTTGCTATTGCATCTTTACCATGTACAGTACATGTACGTGAATGAAAAAAGTTAACTGTCTTATGACTTATCAAGCTGTCAAAGGTACAAAAGTAGCCATTCATTTGACAGAATTTGCATGAAAAGTAGACGTATAGATTTAGTTTATAAATTATAATATAATTGTTTTATTCCAGATTGCTCAGTAATAAGCTGTGATACATGTAAAGCCTGGAAACTATAATATTTATAATGATTGTACCATTTTCTGAGGAAAGTCAATTGATCTAGATGATCTTTAGAAACCAGCTTTACAATCGGAGTGAAGTTGATCTCAGTAATCTTTTTACGTTAAGGCTGCTGTTTTGCACTTACAGACTTTAGAAATCAAATTAAATTACATTTTTAGCTCTATTTTTGTAATTGCATTTTTAGTTCTATTTTTGTACTGAAAGCCTGTCTGTTACATGTACTCAGAAGAGCAGTCTCAATTTGTGGTTATTTACATGTATAATATCAATAAAATTTTCTTTCCCAGATCCAAACATGCCTGGAAATCCTAGAGAGTGTTCTGCTCTTTACTGCAGGAGATAAGCAGTTATCTACCAGAATAGGGATGGCAATAGTACAGCAAGTGCTGCAAAACCATATGAAACTTCTATACACATGTCTCCATCCAGGGAATCCCCCTGATGTTATCATGACTACTCTGAGGTTGCTTACAGCCATGGTAACACAAGGAGTGACAGCAGCAAGAGAAGTTCAGAGGTCATTTGATTTTACTTTGAAGGCCATTGGTGCACTACCAAACAAACGTGACCCAAAGGTTAGTAAGATGTGCCCTACTGAGGTCAGAATTGTATGAAATAAACCAGAGGCAGTCCTGCTCTGGCCACTTGCTGGATTTGTTGATGCAGTTGTAAGAATAATAAATTTTTATAAAGAAAGTGGTTCCTGATAATTATAAAATTGTCTTGGTTTTTTAAAGCAAATTTGCCTGATTTAGAATTAAAAAATGTCATAGAATAGTGTAGGAATAATATGTACATTTGGATTTGGTATATTTATATTAACATTGTCAATGATAATTCTTAGAAAATACCATTAGAAAGATATGTGTGGAAAGAAGAACTCAGAAGAAAAAATAATTTTTCAAGTTCAAGATGGAATTGAACCAACAAACCTTCCAGACACTAGTCAGATGTTTTAAATTAACATCTAAGCCACTGAGAACACTAGTGATGAGCAGGTCATTTGTGGGGTGACATAATGTTGGCATTTTGTAGTCTTGTTATGTCAAATGAACAGACAAATTAACTGCATTGTGCAGTCATGTAAATAATCTCTGAGCAATAAATATTTAATGATTCTCGCATGAATATTTGAAACTTGCTGTCTTTTTTAGTCAGCTCAAGATGTAAGGACATGCTTCATTTACTTCTGTCTTTCATTTTTGATGTTTGGCGACTTATCTGTCATGAAGCAGATCCTAGAACTGAAAGGTATGTAACCATTGTTGTCCATTGTTTTGTTTATTATTTTGGAAGTAATTCAATTTTTAATTTTCTTTACAAAGATTTGCATTGTATTGTGCATGTACTAACATCAAGCACCTTCATAGCTTATTAAAGCAGGATAATAAATAAAACAGCCATTTAGGCCTGTACTTAAATGTATTGAAAATAAACTGATGTGGAGGTTTGCAAAAATTAGACTACATGTAAGTTAGGAGCCCCACCTCGGGAAGGGCAGGTTACAGATGCAGCATTTTTCAAGTGTGGTAATTGATATAATGTGTCTTGTCTGTCAAGTTTTTAGTCATCTAGGGTGATCAGACAACTGCAAATACAGATCCCTGTTATTACACTGTACATTACTGCAATTTTAGATCTCTTATAGACTTTCATATGTGTTCTTCAAATTTGGAACTATTTTGAGAGTGTTTTCATAAGGATAGAGAAGTGCTTTTATATTATTGTCTTTTATTATCTTTAATCTATTTTTAAAATCTTGTGAACTTGACACTCAATTTTTTGTTTAAGAGTCTGGTCAAGAATTGAGATTCACAACAGACCGACCACTCACTCTAGTCCTAGCGTGACATACATGTAGAACCTCTGCTGCACATGCAAATGCTACGCTTGTTTCTTGAATTCTTGTTGTTCTTTCCTCTTTGCATAGGATTCATTCAATCAATAATGAAAGGACTGTCGTCTGATGTGCCTCATGTAGTTCATGTTGTGTTATCCACTCTTCAAACAAGAGTAAGTGTCCTTCAATACTACAGAGTAATACCCTTATTTTCATCAGTTTATCCTCATTAGTTTGGTTTATTTAACTACAACGGCATGAAAACCCTTTAGGCTCATGCACTGTGACTTTTATAGCTTATTGTTTTGTAAATTAGGTAATAACTTAGGGGACAAAAAAGGTCCCATCTTGTTGTCCCAGATGAGTAGTTTTTCTTCTTTGGCAAGTAACTGTTAAAGCTCACTTGCCCCAACTAAATCATTAGCTAAGACTGGAAGCAAGCAGTTGCCCCGGGCAAGCAAAATGTAAGAGATTCTTCGGAATCCCAAAGTGCAAGCTACATGTACTATTCAAGTTTTGTTCAGATGCTGTTAGTATTGATCATAATAATAATAATATTATTATTTTGACAGAATATTTTGCAATATCAGCTCAGTTGTTAAAAAGCGATAAATTTACTAACTTGGAACAAACACCGCTGAAAGGTAGTCAACAGTTACCAGCACCATACAAACAACTTATTGATGGAATCAAGCAAAACTAACTACGAGAGAACGACTGGACAACTGACAATTTGACCAACGATAAACGACTGTTTAACTGTGACAATAGACAGATCGAAATGCACCAATGACATTACGGGTCTTCATAGCCAATAACATCACGGCTTAACTGACAGACGACCAATAACACTGCCAATCAGGACAATAACCAGAGTATAATACCGTCAACTGATGTGATTCAACTCACTTTGACTCTGAAGATGACTACAGTACAGGTTGTGGAAACGTCAGTCACTGTCATCAACAACAGTCCTATTCAGGACCACATTCACCCGGACGATCATACTCAACTCACTTATGAAATGATTCCTGGGTTCAAACCTTTCACATAATTTTTTTTGTAGATAATAAAAATATGGATATGCAATCTTGTAGAAAAGGATGGGTCATTAAAAGTGTACTGTCTTTTACCTTTAAGGTGGTGCAAAGTACTGGGATATCAAAGAAAACAAAAGTACAGTTTTTTAATTCTTTTGTGCTTACACAACTGGCCAATCTATACCAATATGCTAAAGATTCCGAGGAAGAGAGGGAGCAGTCAATACGCCAAGCAGTGCATGAGATCTTACTGAAAATTTGTGGCTCATTCAAGTTTGGGATTTGTTTTTCTAACACCTCTGGTGCATTTGCTATTAAGTATGCATTAATTTTATTAACATGCTTAACAGTGTTATATATAGTTTAATTTCAGTGGGAATAAAATGTAATACATGTATGGAAGAGGGCCTTTGAGGTTAGGTTGCTTCATGCTTCCTTAATAGCATATGTAGACTCAAGACCACTCCTCATGATGAATGAAGCAGAAGACTGCACTAGTCAAAAAGCTTTCTTGGTTTTGCTTTTAGCACATACCCAATCTTGGAAGAAGCTACTGTATACTGTATTAAAAGCCACTTTAGTGCTTATAACTCCTTAATGTTTACAAAAGGTATCTTTAGGGTAGTTTTTCTTCTTCTTTTTTTTTGCAAGGTGGTGACATAAAACCAAGCAGCTGAATTTCTGGCAAACTCTCGAAGGGTTAATGGGCAAATAATTTCCAATATCTCTCTTTTTTCTCAGAACCAATAACCCAGTGTTGTTGAGATTCCTTCAGAATTTATCTTCTTCGATGGTCAGTGATGTATTGGTCCAAGAATTGGTGATAAAAGTGTTATGCTGTTGTCAAGATGTTGTCAAACCTTTTCTCACAAGTTTGACAGTGACATATGAGCCACGGCTTTCATTACCTTGGGTATCAAACGTGAATCTGTTGACAAAGGTAAGAAATATTTCTACACGTATTTACTATGGCACATCAAACATTGTTTTCACTTTAAGTCTTTTGGGTGATTGCAATTTTATTTTCAGATTTATATGGCATTGCCACAGCCTTCACAAATGATAGAAAAAACTATTTTGAAGATTTCTGCACGAGTGATGCCATCATTAATAAATGTGGTCATACCGCCTGGAATCAGCCGAACAGTACTAAATCGTGGAGTTCAGGTAAGTGAATCCAAACTCTTAGAAATTTAAAAAAATGGACTTGTAAGAAGTTAATTTTACCTAGTGATGCTTAGCTTCCACATTGTTCTCCGTATTCTTATTTTAGGTCTCACAAAGCACTGTACATGACAAAGCAGTATCGGATAATGTTCAGTTTAGAACTTGCAGATGTTTGACAAAATCCCACCCGTGGTTGGTCATTTTGACTTGCGTGGGCAGATGAAATACCAAAGACCACCAATTTGAAGCATTTTGATTTGCGCACACACAGGCTTAAATCCATTTGTTTCTAAACCGCCTGTAACCGCCTGTGCAGATCCCCTTCCCTAGTACCGCTCGTGATGTCATCAGAATGACTGGTCTTTAGAGCCAAACAGTGATCATAAAACGGCTCTACTAGTTTCAAATGGTATTTTTCGGAAAACATTGCCGTGGCGAATGGGTTAAAGAAATTAACCAACAATGTGTCTGGTTTGTCCAACTAAACTTTGCTACCTATGTTGGTGTGTCCTTTTCTAAAAGAAAACTTATTTACAGCCCTATAAACCTTGGTTTTCATCTACTTATAGCAAGAATAGTGCCACACTGCTTTCTGCTTTCTCACAGTGTACCATTGTACATGCTATAATAAACGACGATTCAATTTACAGGTAGAAAAAAAACCTTTCACACACAAGCTTTCGATTCTGTCGTGGAGTCTTTTTCAAGTGATGGGTTTGGGCGTTTTTGCACGTGATTTATACTGTGAATCCCGTGACAAAACGATTCCACAAAAGATTCTCTGATGGAATCCAAAGCTTTTGTGTAAAAGGTTTTTTCCTATCCTGTAAATTGAATCGTCGTTTATTATATCACTATGACAGGATTAAGTAACCCTTTTTCACTAAGATTGTAAATGCTATTTGAATTTGAGTATTCATGGCTTTTCCTCCACTTCTACAGTAGTTCATACGGCACTGATCAGTTTTCTGTAAACTTACACACATAATTATCATATTGCCTTCTCTTCAGCATGCAAGTTCTCTGGTAAAGCACACAACTCTATCCTTACTGGTTGTGATCCTTGACAGAGCACAGAACACTGCTGAGTGTCTGGCTTCCAAGAATAGCACAGCAGTTGATCATGAACAGACAGAAACAACTTTGCTGCAGCAATTTAGAGAGGAGGTTTTCAAGGCTTTGCCTGATGTTAAAACAGTCATCTCTTTGAGGCAGAATCTTGTTGTTGGTAATTCAAACGAAGATGTCGAGAAAGGTATGATGCCTGTCACTAACAACTTCATCGTTGACAACTCTTTCCTAGATCTGTACATGAAAAATAGCCGGGGTGTAGCACAGTGTTGGACATAATAATTAATACCGACATTTCCAACATGTTGATCCTTCATTTCGTTTGTGTGTTAGCCAGCATAAGCAGGGTTCTCAATTGAAGCCGTAACCCATAACATCTGTCACGCGGTAAGTGTTACTGCTGTCAAAGCGTATCGACCAGTAGGTCAATATCAAATGCAAATAAAAGAACGTTTTTTTTTGAGTAAATGACTTTGTGAAGTATTGACTGTTAGTTGCTTTTGCAATGTACCTTTCTTCGGTGTTAGTTGTCAAAATTAACAGCCTTTCAGCAGACCAAAGACTAACCGAATAATCGTTATGCTTCGCAAAGTCTCTACAACCTTGAAATGGGGCCGCCATATTGAATTTGTACATTCGAGCCCAGTCCCCTCGCAGATGTCATCTTTTCACTTGCAAAAACATGGCCGCTGCAAAGCATTTCTGAGCATCTGACATCAAATTTTTCCCGGGGAAGCATGTCATGTGTTAGGCCTGTAAGTGGCACAGCAATGACAGTTCAAAATTCTATTGAGAACCCTGATCAGGTGCTTTATAACGCCTTGCAATAGATCATTAAATTCGTACAAGGATTTAGGCATGATACCTACAGTTTTTAGGGCATCGCGCGCTACAAGAAACGTGACCTGTGCTACAGGAATCGCATAGCAACGCAAATCGCAATCGCGTTCTTCTGAAGGGTGGTAACTTGCTTTTGAGTGGGGCTGTATTAGCCATACACCCCTTAGATTCATTGGGTGAATCCATCCATCATATTTGTAACTTGAATGGAGTATATATGCAGTTTGGCATTAAGAGGGCTTAGTAAGAAGTAAGTAATTAATGTGACGTTCCTTTCCTTTTCTACAGATGTTACAAGTCCTACCATTCTGCTAGCGCAGTCTCTTAAAGTAATCCATGGATTCCAGACGCTCTGGCCTTCAGTCTTCTCACACATGAACTTTGACCTTAAGAAACTGTTACCAGGGCAACAGGAAATCAATTTTCCCCCTATCGCTCAACAGTTGACTTTACAGATTCTCCTGGAAACGCCAGCTGGGAGCTTGAAGTGGTATCAACAGGTGACGTTATTCAGAGAAACACTGGTATTGTAAAAGATTAGTGATTGTAGTGTTTCTTCATTCGCACACATAACATTCGCCACTTTACAAATGAGAAGGGAACTGGGACCGAAATGCGTCCTGGTATTGTTTTTGGGATCGTTTCTGTAGACACGCCGGTCAGCTATTGGCCAATAGGCTACTTCGGAGTGTAAAAAACCCTCACTTTCAAAACGAGGCCAAGTACACAACCTTTCTTGTAAAAATGGGTTTTATTTGCATGAGTATGAAAAATCATTTCCATATGAAAGGCTGAGCACTTACCCTCGTTTTGATACAGAGGCCCGCGGGAACTTGGAAATGGCCTATTTTTTTGGCCCGTCCTTAGTAATAGTCCAAGAAGTCCGAAATTAAAGTGAACTCGTTTCTAACCCTTGAAACCCCAATGGTGACCAACACCAATTTTCTCCTAACGATATCCGCACCTTGTCAAGAGATAAGGTTATGAGAATTAATGAAATGATCAATAAAGAAAAGTGCTTTGATCTTTTATCAAATTCTATCAACTTATTCTTTAAAGAAATTTATAGAGATCAGTTTGGAGAATTGGTATGTGGATATTGGGGCTTAAAGGGCTAACGTGGCGAATGTTGATCGAAGGCTGACTCAGTTAGCTTAAGAAATACCACCTGCATTTTGTCAAACACCCTCTGATAGGAGTATATACAACTAGCCTCCTATGACGACTTTTTTTTATCACACATTTTTATTTTATTTTTTTAGAAAGCAAAGAGTTCAACATCCTTTGTATACTCAATTCTCAGTTTATACTCATCAACACAAAGTGAAAGTATCAAGAACAAAGCTAAGGAACTTCTCTGGAAGGTTAGAGAAATTGTTTTAGTAGTAAATGTCTTGAACATAGATCAAAGACAATTATTCTACCAGTCCTTCACGCTAACATTGTTCCTGAAAAGCCCCTTTGGGGAGGTAACAATAAAGTATGTATGTATCTATGTAACACCATGTTCCATCAAACACGTTTTCCTTTATTTCAAAACGGTTTGATATCACACACGAATTGGGATCTCTACCGCACATGGGCTCCTGAAGCACACTATTAATCCGTAATACCTACTAGTTTAACTAACTCCCTATGTGCCTCAGGATTTTGCTTCTTGTTATTTTAACCTGTCTGCAAAATAAAGTAGTATGTATTGTAGTATTTTCGGCGTCTCTCCCTAGTCTCACAGTTCGTTTTCTCCCTCGCTTGCGCACTATTCTTGAGCTACGCGAAATACTGGCTGTTTTGCAGACTAAGTGAAAGGGTTCCATCGTAAAAATGAATCAGGAGGTTAGTGTCCAAAGAATCTGTCATTCTACTTCACCGGGGGAGTGAAACACGAGAATATAGTTATATCACCGAAAAGAGGAGAGAAAAATTAGTTTAGAACCGTGAACGGGCGTTTCTAGGGCTCGCTAGGTATCTCCGCTGTTATTTCTCTTGCATAAATGTGAAGTAGAAAAACTGCTTCATGTCTCCTCAGCTTCTAAATGAAGGTGGACTGGTAGACGGTCACACTTATGAAGTGGACGCATGGTTGATTCAGCTGCGAGAAAATCAGACGTATTATGGACAAGCAGATTCACTTCTGAGGTTTCTAGATGAAGTATTCTGTTCAGTGGCCGCTGAACCATATGAGTACACAGACATTGTAATAGAAATGCAAGCACAAGCAGCAGCAGCCGAGGCTAGTGTGGCACAGACTGGAGTCGAGTCATCACAGTGGAACATGTCTGATACAAGGTCTGTCAGAACTGTAGTACGTACGGTTCTATAATTATTCAAACATTTTACATATCTATTTTTGTACGTAGAAATCTTTCAGTTAAAGACCGTATCCCGTATTAGTAAAATTTTACTTGTATACGATCGTAAATTGGCTGACGTACTCACCATTGGTTTGTAGATAGTAAGCGGTGAAAGCGGGGTCTTTGACCAATAAATACTTGTTGAAATCGCCATTAGCTATCCTTGTTTTTTCTGTCACCGCGATAGAATAATGGCAGCGCTTGAATGAAACGATTAGAAGGCGAACTCGAGATTTCTTTCGGCGGTTCAATAGTGGACGAGTTACAAAGCCAGCAGTAATCACGCCTTAGACGATCCAACTTGGAAGATCAGCCTGTGTTTGATGTCATCGTATCAAAATGTTGGTATGGGCAATTCTACAACACCTCTGACACCTGTTACTCCCATTCAAAGTACCCATGGATAAAATCAATATCTTACTTACTTCGTTTGAAATTCTTTTCCATCAAGGTATTTCTTTTGTTTCAGACTCCCCGTCAGTCTATTGCTCATTGGAGCGTTAAAACGTTATTCTGAACTTCTCTGTAAAATGAACAAGCATGGTGACCAGACAGCTGCGAGTAATATAGGTGGGTATTTTACGTCACTGTGGGTTTTAGGAAAACATACCCAAGCACATAGAAACCTCTATAGCACAGTCATGCTAGGTCAAGGGTATCCGTATAGATTCTATTATTGGATTCAATCATTTGTTGAAAATGGTATGGGCAATTCTACAACACAAGCTAGGAGAGCAAGGGTGGCGCAGTGGTGAGAGCTCTCGGCTCCCACTAATGTGGTTTGGGTTCAAATCCCGACGTCGACGCCATTTGTGGGTTGAGTTTGTTGTTAGTTCTCCCCCTTGCTTCGAGAGGTTTTTCTGCGGATACTCCGGATACTCTCCTCAAAAACCAACACTTCCAAATTCCAATTCGATCTGGAACGCAGGGACACGTTTCAACGATTTCTTCAAGAACTCTTAAGTGCTTCACGGGTAAACAAATTACTATTTATGGAATCTGTCAGTCGTTGTCATTATCAGATTTATTTCTTCATCCTTGCATACGTAATGAGCAGTGAATTTACACGCGTGATGAAAAAAATTTCCGCTAGCTTAACTTTCGTTTTGAGCTCAATCTGTATCTTCATAGGAATTTTCATCCATTTAAAATGTGAAAGATTTTTCAGTCTGTTTCAGTACAGAGAAGTTGTAGACTTACATTCGCTACTCATTATGCATGCAGGAATACAGATTTGAATTTAATACCAGTGGCGGCAATGACCAGTGGATTCGCGGCTTTTAAGATAATCAGTTCGTTCGTAGAATTGAGGGATATACTTGATTTAACTTGGCTTATCAGTAACCGAAGTAGATGAATGTCGTTCTTTAGATCCTGGTATAGGAAAAAACAGAAAGAACGCGCTATGCTACCATTGCTTTTGGCAATACATTTTGCTTGATTTATTGTAGATGTTATTTATCTCTTACAAAATTTACAAATATTATTTGTAGCTAACTTAAAAATGCTGTTTAAAAATGTCTGATTTTACTGTGCGTTGTTTGACACTTTTTGACTTGGGCTTAAAATATAAAGAGGACAGGCAAAATGCTTATAGCGAGTGACAGTCTGCTACCAGTCCCCTCCCCTAGGACTACCGCGAGGGAGAGCATTTTAAGAGCCAGCGAACCAGTTCCTTCTCTCTTTGTTCTCTTCCTACACTCTCGTTGTGACAGCTCGCTTTGTACGTTAGTTGAAAAAGGACTAGCATCTATCTAGTTGTGAAGCATTCTTTATCTTAGAATCTTTTTACTTCATAGGAGGCGTTGCACGATACATGAATTGTTTGGTCTTCGAGATGATCCACATTTCTGCAAATCCAGCCATTCTCTGTTTCGCCGTTTGCCATTACTATACTGAAATGGTAGTAGCGGACCATTTGAATGCCATAAGAAGTCTGCATGTAGCCTTACTGCAGTATGTAAGCAACTGGCTTCCTGGTGCGGTTCAGATGCAGGACAGCATTGGATGTGCACAAGAAAATCTACAGAAACTGCAACGTTTTTTGAACAATACCGCTGTAGACAGCGAGCAAGGTAATTTTACGAAAGCTGCAAAGACTTAATAGCATGTTAACGTTATAAAAAACCATACAACGCGTTTTGCATTATGGCTGTTTCAGCTCTGGTAAAATAATAAATGTAATTTGATCTCTATTTTTTATGCTAGGGAAGCTTTGTACTTACAATTTCTGATTTAGTTCTATCGACATGAAATCTTACCATTCACCATAAACAGTCTAAGCTAAAGCGCCTTAAAGACACTCCGGAGAGACCTCGTTCGTTTCAAGAAACAATGGCGACGGCGAGCGACAGTGCCAAACTTTCCTCAATCAAATTCCGCGATCAAATTGTAGTATTTGCCCTTCGGCTTATGTCTCCATCCGAGGTGTTTCAATATGCGGTAAAAGAGTGGGACGATGGCGAGAGGGGTGGGGAGGCGATTAATCGAGGGACGGCTATTATTCGAGGAAATGCGGTAATTAAAAAAGCCACTCTTGGGGTACCAGCAAGTGGTTGGCGCTAAATGGAGATCGGTCGCTCTTTAGAGGTTCGTCATAAATTAGGGAGCTTGAGCAAAGACGTTTTTTGAGCGACGCACTCCAACCAGAAGTAGACTTTTGACATTCGTGGTCAGTGATTTTGCTCCAATTTTTGGGTAAATCGTCTCCATTATAGTAAAGAACTTAGCAATACAAATTTGGTAGCGTCAAAGCATATCAAAAGCGAAAAGGCCTCACTTTTGGTTGACGTGCATCGCTCAGAAATGTCTTTGCTTAAGTATCCCCACTTTAGCAGAAACGTTACTTTATTTTGAAACAAATTCGCGACGGGAGCAGCATTACTGGTCCACAGTCAGTTGTCACTTTCCAGATCGGACTAAGAGTGATCAGCATCAAATTTCTGCTTGTAATATCAGTGCTTCGTAAAACAGTGGTCATGAGAATTACGGACATGATCACACAAGATGAATGTGCTTGATATTTTATCAACTTCTCCCCACTACTCCTGTATGAAATGAATAGGGGCAACAAATGAGAATTCAAATTTTGATCTTAGGGTTTAAAGGGTTAAATAAGTGGCGGCTTAATCGAGGTTCAACTGTACAAGCTGATTACTGTAAGTAAATTAGTCTTTACCGATAGATGGTTAATAAATTTAATTTTAATTTGACAAGAGGCTCTTTTGGCGTAACATTTATTTCCCTTTCTATCACTCAGGCTTTGTAACTACAGGGAGCTTAGCTCCTTTGCTACGAGTGCTTCCATTCAGTTCCCTTTTGTGGCAAGTACTAAGTGAGACAGCTCGCGATGAGATAACACTTTCTGATGAGCTTCCCTCGAACACCTCTTGCACAGGAAATGACAGTTCAAGTCTCCTTTACGACTCTTGGTTCCAGAATCTCTTGATGGCTACTTTAAAGAAAGAGCCGATGTCAAAAAGCATCCCTCTTTGTCGGTATCTCCTCCTACATTTGCACTTCTTGAAATCAAAACTGTTAACTGTCGCCGTTTCAGTCAAGCAAGACAATCTCCAAGCTGCAATGTTGTTGTGCTTTGAACTGCTTCAGTCTCTGATAGAACGATTGGTAGAAATCCGAAAGAATTCACTCAAAACAGATGCAAATGCACTTAACGCAAATAGTGATGATTTTTCTCATGGTTCAGATATAACACATACTGTCCCTGAAACCCATGATATGGGTTTAAGTGACATGGAATACATAATCCGCACTGTTTTCCACCATCCTGTAATGCTAAGCTGCTTCCTTTGGTACCCAGAGCAGTCACTGCCACGCACCTCTCTTCAGGATGTTGCTGTTCAGCTTACATATCATGTGTCCAACTTGCTTCTTGCTATCCTCCCTAGTCTAACCTGGCAGCAGAAGAGAATCGTGATGGCTCCTTTTGTTAAGAAGTTAATCAGTGCTGGAATGTCCGAAATTCAATCCGCTCAAGATGGAAATGGTAATAAATAGTAAATATGCGTACTTTGAATCGGTAGCTTTATGCAGCGTAGCTATTTCAGCTGATCAGTATTGCTGGAAGAATGGCTCTGCCTTGCACAACCTCCCTATTGTTCAAGCTTAAGAGCATTTTATGGGGTTTCCATAGAGAGGTTCTTGTAGGTCATTTGCACGATGATGTCGTTTGACCACAGCTTCTAGAATCCTTTATTTTTTATGTGCAAATCAAGACTATTGTTTTAAAAACTTAGTGGGATTTAGAAATTTAAATAAGAAAGCAAAACCGAATTCTTGTAGTTGTAGTTAACTGACGTCCTCGTCAAAATAGCCCGCTATTGTAGTAATATTGTAATTGTATTGCTAAGCTTAGTGATTGGCAAAAAACATATCATGCGCCACTTTCTCCACCAATCAGTAGAAACTCAGAACCATTCTTGACTTACGTGCCGTCATCTTTCCGCGCTTGGTCTGCGATTGTTTCAATATCACACCTAGACTGGACAGTTATTCCTAAACCGACCTAACTTGACTACGTATTAATCTAATGTGCATTTACTCCATTACAGAGACGCCATCTTCACAGACATTCTATCTCCTTGGACTCTTTCATAGCTATTGCGACAAAGAAGAACAAGTGAAGTTCATATCCAGTTTATGCAAGCTGCCTACCAGCTTGTTGTTGGCAATAGATTCATCATCCAAGGAGAGGACGCCAACTGCGTTTCTTCTCACTCTTCTGAAATTCTTAGAAGGAACATCACCATACGAAGACAGAGATTCTCATCCGTCATTCACTTTGTGCAAAGATGTGATATTAGAGAGAGAAGAACCGCTTTCAGTGTCGCATTTCATGCAGCTTGTCAAGATTTCAAAGGATGTAAACTGTCCTCAATTAGACTCGATTATTTTGAAACTCTTGCAGGCTTCTTTGAAATATGTGCAAGCTTCTACAGCGACTGTCCTAAATTCTTGTCTTCTTTACCCAACAGAAGTTAAAGTTTCAATCGCCTCATATTTGGTCACACATTCTCCTGCTTTGAGGTCGCATTTTGAACTTTGTTGCTTGAGCAGATCAAATTCTAGGAAGAAAGTAAAAGGAAGTAACAATAGTTCAGTAGTTTCAATAGAATTCAAGGATCATTTGAGAGAATTCGTTCTGCTAGTTTCATCCTACCTTTTGTCCGTCCGTGGAGTGACTGGTGAGGGTAAGTTCAGTGTATGTTCTTTGACTAACTGACAATTCGCCACTTTAGATACGAGAACTGAGGAACCAGGGCCGAGTTGACTTTCGCAAAGACCTTTGGGATTGTGACGAGGGACTTGGTCGGCATTAGATCCCATCGTCCTTAACCCCTTGGGCACCTTATGAAGTTTACACAACGTAGTATTCTTTATTGCTTGTGCACTGCGCTGAAATGAAATTTCTAAGTTTCTTGACCTTTTTGCTCAGGAAATGTTCATGAAAGTGTAAGTCTCGTCAATTTTTAAGGGAAAAAAAAGCAGAAGATCAAGAGTAAGAATCGAACCCTGAGGGTAGTGTCTGCAGTCCATCACCTATACCAGTACGCCACTGAGGATTTCCTGGCGAAAATTGGCTTGATTTGAAGCTATATAGCAACAACCTTAACCCTGAGTAGAAGCTAACCGTTTGGAGTCAGAGCTTAACCCTAATCACTATAGTCAGTGGTACAAACCGAAGCGTTAAGGCATAGTAGGTTGTGTAAACTTCATAAGGTGTCCAAGGGGTTTTAGGCCGATGGGATCTAATGCTAACCGAAAATAAATTTGGTTTCTAGCTGACCGGGGCGTCCCCAGTAACAATCCCAAAAACAATTGCGGGACGCTTTTGGGCTCCAGGTCCCTACTCCTCCCTACAGTTCCAAACTGACTACATAGCAATACAAACGTTCATTTTCTTTGTTACTGAATTTTCCATCGTGAGCATATGCAATAACATTTTTTCTTGACAGCAATAAAAGGTTGCTTCATGTCCGCGTCTTTTTGTCTGCCATTAAGAAGGAGAGATTTCCGTGCAACCCCATACATTTATTGTGTATCCAGCAATCTCATAAATTTCACAGAAATAGTAAATAAGAATAAAATCTAAACGTGTATGCATGTGTGCAGCTGAGTGCAAATCATATCATAAGGTATTTCACGTATTTTAACGTAGTTTTCAGCAGAATAGCAAGGTTTTGTTGCAGAGTTCTAGTAATGGGGGTTCAAACTTTAATATCAAGATTGGCTTTAAGTTTTGCCAAAAAAAGTCGGCGAATACACGGCAAACGTTAATTTGTTTGTTAACATGCATTTAAACATTTTTTTTTTCATTTTTGCGTCTTGGCAGGTAAAACCAGAGCACGAGCTGTAATCTCACACCTGGTTGAAGCGTACTGGGATCCACTGTGGGACTGGCTCGTTGGTGATAGAGAGGGAATTTTCAGATCCTCAGAGGTTAGAGATTTCTTAGAAAAACAGAACATAAGAACATTAAATAAAGACTTACGATGCAACCAAATGCAAGCGTGGTCTCTCAGTGTCATTGCTAAAAAAGTCTCCAAACCCTCGCCTCAACATTTTCAAATTTACGCCAAAATTTAGTAAAGAAAACTTCAAATTTCGTAACAGTAACGTCACCACCCATTTTTCTGTTTTGTTTTCATTTTCATTCTGCCGCTCGCCTGCTCGTTCCCCTTTCCCCGTTTTATGAATTATTAAATTATATGTCTTCTCCTTTGGTTAATTATTCATATTTGTGGATTACGCACCAATCTTGTCACTGTGAGTTGGTTTTGAAAAGTACACTTACTCCTAAGGTATTGCAATAGTAGTTAAATACTTCAGCTAGTGTTCTTGTTGATGTTATAGGAACCATGTATGGAGTTGATTATCACTCTTGTTCAGAGCATGGAAAAAAGAGGTTAGGTCCGCTTCGTAACTGATAGAGCCACCCTTAAAATCAAAAGGTCGATTAAAGGAATGCAAAATTGTACTCTTTAATAATAGATGTGGCGAGCAGGGTCAGTTGATTTTGAGGGAGCCTCTGGGCCTTCATAACTCACTGTTGACGGCGATCAGCCGAGGTTCTCAAAGAAGCTCTGGTAACCAGCGAAAAGCACCGTCGCGCCAGCTGCTCAGAATCAATAATGTTTACGTGGTATTTGTTTCTCAATACTTTTGCTTGATAAACCAAACGTATGATACATCTAAAAATAAAGCAAATAGGTACGTTAAGGTGCCGTTATCGTGGATAAACTTCTTTCGCTGTCAATCAAAATAATGTAAAATGCACTTTTCAGGCCCTCCGCACGCCTCCCCTCAACAGGCCACCCCAAGATCCCCGGACTCCTCCAATGGCAGGGGGACGACCCCTTCCCTTCACGTGTATCTCTTATGAAGTTTGTTGTTCCAATCACTCTTATATCTTTTATTTTTTTATCTTTTATTGCAGCTGACATTCTTAGGATGAGGTTCAATGACCTGTTGACTAAAGCTTCCGTATGGGACAGGTACGTAGTCTACCAGGTCATTTGGTTAGCTGTTTCCTATGTAATTTTAATGCAGTTTATTTTTTCCCCTAAATTTCATTTCTGTTTTGCAGCTACCAGTTGAGAATTTGTTATCAGCTTTTCATGTGCCTTTCTCGTGACTGCCCTACCAATGAGGAAACCGCCGATTTTAGAAGCCAGTACTGCTTTGCCTGTATGGAATATTTATCCAGTTCTTTCAATGGAAAAGGTAAATGTTTGTCTCGCTTTTTTGTAGCCACCTTCCGCTTATAACTTGATTTTCAAGTCAGGTGAAAGAATCGCAAAAGTCGCCTCCTATTCTTGTTTCTAGAGAGAATGCGTAACGTGTGACACTACCTCAGTATTTTTTAAATCATATTAGGGCTTGACTGTACACTTTTCCGCCTATACTATGATCGCTGCTAATTGTACCGCTTTGATAACTGATTGTTTCGTTAAAGTTCTTACGTCTTCTGTCACTGGTGAACGTGTTTACCCTGATTTTGCTGCAGTGTATAGAATTTTCTCGTTCAAGAATTACCTTAGCAACTGACCAGCTCTTGTTTCCTATTCGTAGGTAACACAAAAGGTACTGAAAATGTATTTGACGATGCTTTGGCTCATTTGGAATCTATTTGTAAGGTACTTGACACTGACTTATATTAGGATTACCATGAGTTGCATCCTAGTTTGTTATGATAATGGTAAAAGCTCAGGATGGGAAAGGAAAGGAAGCACAGTAGCGAATGGGAGTCCAGCGTTGTTTAAACATAAACATGTTCCTTCTAAATTTATCTATGTAAAAAAGTCAGCATGTTACCGATTAATGATGCGCGATTTTTCTTATTTTAACACTCTATGTGCCTCTTTTTTATGTAGAATTCAGACGCATACGTTGCCCATGATAAGAGTTGTGATTCAGTGTGGAACAGCTTTGTAACGAACTGTTTGAGGTATTTATCCATTAGTTTCAGGTTACCATGTAGCCAATCCAAGAACGTTCAGCTCAACGCTCTTTCCGATTCATGTAGAATTTATGGTAGTAGTCAGTCAGCTAATGAAGCTGTAATGATGGAGGTAGATAAGTACTTGCTAGTGAACTACATTCAACATCTTTGGTTTGCATTTATATGAGCGTTGTTGTATGCGCGCTTACCGTCATGCGGAATAATTTTTTGCATCATAATAAAGGGGCCACCAACTTTCCTCACTTACAGCCAATGGCTGAATCGCGTAGGAACCAGAGAGATGAGATCGGACGTCAGCTTTTAAAGGCGCACTATGCTCCCACCCAGATCAATGACGGCGCACGTCAGATAGACCATGACATCGGGGCCTACGTCTCCTACTCTTTTCGAACAATGTCCCGGGTTCTTTTTCAACTGATGGAAAGGATGAAGGAGTCAAGGCCAGCGGCGCAACGTCACCGCCCAATGACAAGATCATCTGTACTAAGAAAGGGGTTTGTAGTCACAGCTAGCGTGATCTCACCATACTTTAAAAACCTTGGTTAATTGTCTTGCTTGGGTGTGAACTGACAGCCTTCCGCGCAGCAGTATCTCCTGTCATCACAATGGACATTAAAAGAGAGTTAAAACATCGGTCACTACAAGGGCTAGCCTCTTTTGCGCGTCTCGAAGAGTACGGTATTTGACGAGCCGTATTCTACCTTGTAGCAATGCATTTGAACCATTTCTGGTGTGATTTGTTGTCTTCCACAGGTACAAATTTGAAAGCGCCAAAGTTCTGACGACTTTGAGATGTCTTATTAAAGCAATGTACAGGAAAGAACCTTACGACAAGAAACAGTCTGATACTCTGCTGCCCCTGGACACTTTGTATGAAATGCTAATAAGCCATTCTCAATTCTTGGACGTGATTCTAAGTGACGGGCCATCAGGAAACAAGGACGCAAAAGGTTTGATAAAAAAGTATTAACGTCTAATAGTATCACAGTAATATTCTCTGCCGGCGATTGGCCAAAAACGATTGTCTGATCAAGCAGAAGAAAGGAATTCAAATGGGTCAGGAACTGGTTCATTAATAGTAAGTGTAAGAGTGAGTAACTTGCATCCTCAACAAATCCCCGCTTCCCATCTCTAACAGTTGGCATTACAAATAATCCTTGTGTCAGTGCCTTTCGTTTGTTATAAATGTTCATTCTGTTTTTCCTTTGTTTTGGTAGTTCCTTTGGCTAAGTTGCACAATAAAAATTTTCAAACCTTCCTAATTGAAGAGTTAGAGGGCATCATCAATTTTCAAGGTTTAATTATGTTTTGTATTTTTACAGAATCCCTCACGGAGCTGATGGTTACTATAGTGGATTTAAGTCCTAGCTGTTGTAAGTCGTCACACCTGCCTGTGCTTTTTGCAGCTTACTCAGCCTCATTATCTGTCACAGGTAAGGCAACGTTTTCTGCAGATGTTCGTTCTTGACAATCAGCATATGTAGCCAATTTTATTAACCAATCAGATAAAGAAGCAACTGAGTTTTAGTCGACACATAGGGAAGGAAAAAGCAAGCAGACAATTCACGTTTGATTTTGGTTCAAAAGTGGAGAGGTATTTTCAAGCCAATCGCATCATCTTCATCATAATCATCATCATCATCAACATCATCGTCATCATTATCATGATAATCATCACCATCATCAGCCGACCACACCGCAGTTCGCGTCGAGTTTCCCTACTCCTTCCTGCCTTGTGTCATACTCCTAATCTCTCCTGCCAGTGGTGGGTAGACCTCTCTGATCACATGGGCAATGAGTTTACGGACCATCAGCTTTGCGTAACAGATTTTGCGGTTTTGCGGCATTTTTAGTTTCCCTCGTGATCTCTTTACTTGTACGATCAGCTTCTGAAGTTAATGCATTTGTTTCTAGACCAGTGCATTCTGTACTTGATGAGTCTTTACGAAAAGAACCACGCATCATTTAAGGACTACAGGTATTTTTAAAGATTCTGAAGTTATGGTCGAATATTTCCTGACGGACACGTCGCTATTATGGCTAGCTTGAGAAAACGGGCAACATTTCGCGACGTCACCACTGGGTTCCCCGCGAAATGACGTTTGAGAAACGAGCGCAGAAATTCCATACTGATGACGCGTCACTACCCAGATTCTGATTGGCTAAAACTTTGATTTATCCGTGCTCCCATATCATGGAGTTAACGAATCGACGAAGGCCATGCCTATCCTTGACGTTACTCCTCAAACTTCAAAAGAGATTTTTCTGCTAGTAGTACACAGTAGTAGGAGACAGTTAAACCCCTTCTGCGGGGTTCTAAGAGATTTATGAAAGGCTGTTAAGTATCATGCACGAACAGCCAAAGATAATCAAATAAATGTAAATTTTTAGTGTAATACCAAATGTGAATGATCTTCATTCGGCATATAAATTGACATTTCAGTCAAATGGGGTATATGTCGGAAAGCAAAGCAATCTTGACCTCAACTCCCCCCCCCTCGACTGTTTTTTCTCAGTGGCAGCTTGATTAGCGCCACAACATTGTTTGGGGGCGGGGTGGTGGGGACGTTTGGGAGGGAAGGCTTGCTTTTGTTGTTGTTTTTTTTTTTTAAGTAAGTATGGTCGCCAATATTTTAGACTCGTCGTTGAGGATAAAGTGTTTTTAGTAGTGTTCTCGTCTATTGTGAGGATTCGACTTTGATTCTTGACACATATATCAACGACTCTATGGGTCTTTATAACCCGTGTACTGCTCTATAAAATTGAATGTCACCTTGGCACAGTTCCGGTTACTTTCTCGTCTTGTTACAGACCATTCCTTTGGGGCCCCGCTGCTGCTAGCCATCATCAGGTCTCGAGAAGCCTGGGTCCTTCACTATGGCAACAGCCAAGCGTTACTGAGGTCCTGGAACTGCTGGATGCCAAGAAAATGAGCCAGTCAACAGTTTTGTTCTCGCAGACCAGGCTATTGCAGGTTTGTGAAGGGCTTAATCATTTACGTTTCCTGTTTGAGCTTGCAGAAGGATCATTTTTGTCAGTCTTGCATTTTTACGCGAAAGTGTGAAGTGGATTGACTGGCAAGCTAGGAAGGCAAGAGATGCCACAATGATTACTTATGTCGTAGCAGGCAAGAACTATAGCGGGAGGTAAAGAGTTTGCGGGGGAGTGCCCGCAGCTTGATCTCGGGAAGAGTAAAGGACAAGCTAAATCTTCAACCTGCCATCATGCGTTCTTTTTCTCGGGGGAGCGCAAAAGAAAAAGGGAGGTAGGACCGCCTGATGGCAGGTTAACTCAATCTTAACATCCTCTAAAAATAACACAAAATTACATAAATTGCGACCAACAAGTTCAAATCTTGCATTCTAGTCAAGTTGCTGTATGTTTGTTTGTTTAAATGTTGTGTTTTTCAGCCGCAAGTCCACCGTGAGGTATCGCAGGAGAAGCCCCAAGATGTTTATGACCCTTGTTTCCTTCTTCCGTTATTCAGTTGTATTATGGCTCCAAGTAAGCAGTTAACCGTATTTTGGTTTTTTGATTTATAATTCAGTATGATATGGATTTTGATCCATACTTGAAACAAAAGTTTACCTGACAATTTTCTCTTTCGATTTTTTAGTGCGATTCAAATAGGTATGAAACTTTATTCTGCAAGATTTTTATGTCACGTGAAAAAGTGGCATTTTTATTAGTGGAATCTCTTTATCAGTTCTTCTGTGTGGTACTGTTTGTTAATTTTCAGTCTTAGATAAATCAGCGGTTCTAAAACAAAATAGCGTACGTTTGACAAAATTGTTCTGCCTCATAGATTACCAAGTAGACTGTCGAAAGTTCGTGGAACAAGGTTGCTTGAGCTTCACCGTGGCATCTTTGTCGTCACGTGATACACACGTGCGCCAAGCGGGATATCACGTGCTCAGCAGGTTTATGACGCATCTTGAAGGTTCAAGATTCAAAGAGAGAAAACAGGTCAGTCATTAGCTCCCGTGACTCAGTCCTGATACTTTCCTACCAAGCCTGTGGCGAGTTGCGTAGTTCTTAATGTCAGACGTAACAGCTGTAACCTCGCACAAAACCTGTTGAGACACATCGCAGACATACGTATTTTTTTGTGTCATCCTGGCAAAAATGGAAACCTTCGCTAAGTGAATGCCCGTTTACCCCCTTATCCAATGTTTAGGATAACTCGAGAATCATACGCGTTTGTTTTTAGACCAAAGCAACTTTGAATAAGGGTAGGGGAGGGACCTTACTTTTTCTGTTTAGAGGAGATGGTAGTATGGCGCAAAAGTTAGAAAAATAGATGAAACTGTCTCAACAGTTTTGACAAAGTTGTAGGTTCCCGAGTGATGCCCAATCAGCAATGTTGCAATTGTGTTTACTGAATAGGCCGATTCCTAGTTGCGCAAAATCTTTCCTGTAATTTCTGAACGAACTCATATCCAGTTCATTTGTTAACGTGATCCATATTTGTGGTCTTACTTCACAGATTTTTCACTTGTTAAAGTGTTTGCAAAATGGTATCACAGAAGCGAATTACCGCATATCCAGCTTGATGACTTGTTTTGTTGCTCGTGTGGCTTATATTCTGCTGAGACCAGGTACAAATATCAAATCTTTTCATGTT